TAGGGCCGATCGATTCTCAGGGAGTCGTCGCTTTCGGATCAAGGTGACACTTATCACATGATCCTGCTAACTAATTGGTTACCTGATGCGGGTTATGTTACGCCGTCGTAACATCTATTAGAATGATATTTAAATACTATTTGAGTAGATTTAATAATTGAGAACTAAGAATTAAGAATTATAAGATTATATTCTATATAAATATAATTCAAAAAGTTTTTTTTTTTTTTAAAAAAAAGACTTATATAAACTTTAAGAATTAAAACTTTTATTCTTGAGCTTCTTGACTTTGTGTCGCGATTCACCATTAGGATGTAACGATACTATACTGGAGGCAGCGGCTGCCTAAGGTTTCGTCTGGTTGGTAGTTGTGGGTTAAGGCTTTATCACTGGTCTTCACTTGGAAGTGAAGTCGTTACTAGATCAAGTAGAATGTAGGTAAACTAATTGATAACTAAGTTGAGCACAAAGCTCCTTAACTACGAGACTAAATGAATGTTTATATACCCTATATCATCTTTTGAGGACCTTTGGGACCCTAAGGTCCAAAAGGTCCTCGAGGTCATGTGAATTAATGAATCGTGACATAGGATTAGTGTCCTGGGATAAAAATGAATCACGTGATAATGAGCCCTAGGAGCCCTCAAAGCTCCTGGAGGCTCCCTCTGTGACGCCTCACACCTTCGGGTCACGTGGCATGCCCCGTTTGTATTTAATCACAGGAAAACTCGCTACTCTTGTTTTCCTTCTTCTTTTCTCCTTAGCTTAGTATTTTCTAATACAAGATACTTTACCCAGTATTCTTGAGTGTGACACCCTCTATCGTTCATTATATAATTAGAATAGTTTCATACTTTAGGAGCTTCGTGCTCAACTTAGTTATCAATTAGTTTACCTACATTCTACTTGATCTAGTAACGACTTCACTTCCAAGTGAATACCAGTGATAAAGCCTTAACCCATAACTACCAACCAGACGAAACCTTAGGCAGCCGCTGCCTCCAGTACAGTATCGTTACACTTTGATTGTTGTTTTGATTTAGATGATTGAGGAATATACAGGTTTCTTTCTTGTAATATTAATTTTATAATATCATGAATTAAATAGATAAAACAAAGCTTTTCCTTCCATAGCCTGATCTTTGTGTGTATATATCATGATCCCGTTAATCCCCTCGCTAATAATCTCCCAGATGAACAGAACAGAACAGAACAACTCCTTTTCCAATTTTGCCTTTCCAAATTTCACCATCACGCCTTCCAATCCTATCCCATCAAATCATTAAATATTTACATATGAATATGAACAAACATTGCATTGCACAGCAACACATCATATCCCCCCCAACCATCCTTTTCCCGTACTTCCCCTTCAAATCCTATCACAATCTGCACTCACACTTCGAGTAGTATGTGATCTACTAGTGCTTAATTCCACCATACTTTCCGTTTCCTTCATCTCTGCTCTTCGATTACCAGTCATCGGTCTATCCATCACGCGAAATCCTTCGCTTCGCTTATGTTGATTTGAGGGGCCTCGAAAATCGGCCCAGACGCTGCGACAGATTCCTAGAGAGGTGGTGAAGTATATTATAGTGTTCCACTATTCTGTATTAGTTACTTGTATCTTGAGATTGGTGGGAAAGAAAGACGTACGAATCCTTGCAAGGGGAGAACAAGAGCAGATCCTATGTTCAGTATAAATGATGGATTATCCGGGAATCTCAATCCATAGACTCGATTTACTGATGCCGGTACCCAGGTTACCAAGATAGAAATTGAAAATAGTATGGCGCATTTTGCGTACGCCCATTTGATCCTATCAAAACTATGTGCAGTTCCTCTTCTACTCTCCCTTCCTATTGTCGTGTTGATGCGCGGTAGGGCGGAGATAGTCACACGGTAATTAGTGTCCGGATTTTTCGTAGGAGCTGCCATAGGATTTAAATCAGACGGATCAGGATTTTCAGAAATTGGTCCTGTGTTGATAGCAATTCCATTTTCCCACGAGCCATGCGTTACTTCAATCTCGGTAGTTCGGGTTCCAGTGAATATTGGTTGATCATGCTCGCTTTCATACTCTTTGTTTGTTGCTTCAGATGTATTTGATATGGTATTTTGAAGGGGAATCGGTGATTTTCCTCCAGTATCTGTAGGCAGAGAGGGATCTGATTTGTGGGCAAATCCGTGAAGTTGGTTGCGTGTGTGGAAGACATAGATGCCAACTCGAACGTAGATGATTAATGCAGCGAGGATGGTTAACCAGATTGGCGTGTAATAGCTGTAGATACGGAGAGGTGCCCATGAACCATCAATCCAACACCAAAGCTATATATGTATGAGTTCTCTGTTCGAAGATTTGAACAAAAGGACTATACATACTGTTGCGTTTCCGTAGATTCTTCCCCTCTTTTTAGTTTTGACAAATAGACAGACCATGGCTGGAATGAAAGGAAGACCATAGCATATCAATGCATAATAAGGATAAAGTTTCTTCAATTGAGCGGCATCATATCGGTAAAAGAAGACGAGATAGACATTTGTAGCCATAGCCAAACTCCACCATGGATCGCTCTGCATGAACCTTTCCTTTCGTCAGCGACGGTAGAACCAAAGGGCTGGAATATTTTATACATCTCCAACAAGAAGCCTTGAAATTGACATAGTGGTGAATTAACTTTTGATAATGCAGAACCTCCGATGAGTGCCGCAACATTAGCAAAAAGATTTGCAAAAGAAGCATAAAAGATAATTGTATTTGACAATGTTCTGAAAGATTTGATAAAAATAAATGTCGCAAACAGAGCCAATGTTCCCAATACCGAAATCGACGCTGTGATACGTTCGATGATGATTAAGATTTCAATCTCCCTTTCGGAAAGTTGGCCCATGATGACAACTAGCTAGTGGATGTGGGGAAGCTAAAGGTCTTGTGAACGGGAAGATCGAGAGAAAAAGCTTGGAAGATAAAAAAATATGGAGATTTCCTCATCTATCTATGTAAGTCAGCAATAAGCTTGAAGAGAATACAAAAATAAAAGGATCGCATCACAAAATAGGTGTAAGCAGACTGGGGAGGAAAACATTCATGGTGGAAGTAGATCCAACGACACCTAGAGGATCAGAACACCTACAGCAAACGAGGCGAGGATAACCTTCATGATTGCTGGGAATACATGAATAGTGCAGCGGAGGTGATGACCTATTCAAGAAATAATTGACAAGAAATGTAGACGGTAGATGAAGATAATCTAATCAGTAGGTAATTAAGGTAATGAATAATGTACTTCACTTCATACCTGCCCACCCTCTTTTTTCTTTCCATTATCCCGTGTGTGATGCACGGGAAAAGAAACGCCACGGAAAATGCATCCGAGCAAATACTTGTGCTTGAATTTCATGTACACTATTTGCAACGTATGTAATGGTAAGAAGAAGTAGTAAGTAATCCTACGTGGTCAGCGAATGAGGCTGGAGTAAGGTTACTTCAATCATGCAAGATGGGCCACGGGGCGACACAATCCCCTACCCATCTAATCTCTCATAAATTCTGGAAAAATCCAGCCGCGGTTGCAAAGAAAAAGAGTTTGAGGCATTAAACCTTCATGTGAACAGTTTTGAGAGAGTAGAAAACACTCACCGGTACATGGCCTCTTTACCCTACAACACATTCGAGAATAAATTGAATGCCTTCAAACATCACCGGTTGCACTCGTACCAACTACCAAATGCTAATCAAATGCTACTACCTAGTACTTAAATGCTTATCCGCTCGAAATATATTAAACAAGGTTAATTTCTCCTAGCGCGGGTAAGCACTTTTTTTGAACATAATACTGAGATGAATCCCTTCGCGGGGATGTGGACATCTGGGGTAACACAACAAAGCATTGATGACACGGATTTGGATGATAATGATGCTTCATATGGTAAATGCTGGGTGAAAATATTGTTACTTAGTAGGTAGTGTTGGTTGTATTTCTGACAACTTAATTACAAGGAGGAGTCGAGCTAATGCACCTAACGTGGGTGTCATGACGTGGTGTAATTGTTCCACAGAGCACTCGGCTGGAAAAAGCTTGCTTACTCCGTAACATTTTGATGTTGTCGTACTTGCTTGTGCAACATTATTAGGCTAATCAGGATGTTTCTTCAGTGTTACCCTGGCTTTCGCCGCTGATTGAAAACTTGGAATGATGATATATTTGGGGCTTGTTTAGATCGGTTTCATGGCCGAGATTAACGGTTCAAATGCTCCTGCAAAAGAGATTGATAACCGAAATCCTGCATGTGAAACTTACACTTAACACTTAATTGTATAACCCTATGTAGTATCAATGATGCATAACCATATTGAGAATGTCTAATATAAATTCAGGTTTCCCGAAAAAAATATAAATATAAATATAAATATAAATATAAATATAAATATAAATATAAATATAAATGTTAAAGTGAATATAAATATAAATGTTAAAGTGAATGGTTCCTGCGTAGCACGTGCACAGGGCACTAGTCCTATTAGGACTAGATTGAGAAGCTCTCTGTAAGAGAGCTTCGCACTTCCGTAGAACTTAAATAATGAGTGATTCATATACAAGACCAATATAGCCTCAGTTCTGCCCTATCAGCTTCCCACTATTCCCTGTGTAAGGTCATTCCTTTTAACAAAAAGTTTTAAATTAAAATATATCTAAGTTTTTCAGATTTATATCAAACTTTTTGTTAGATTTCTAAATCAATTATATCGCTTAAAACAAGAAGAGCATTCTAAACCAATCAGAATACTAGGATGGTGATTTATTTGAACGAGTTTCTTATTTTCTTTAATCTATATCAGATAAACCTCGCGTACGCAAGGTTTTGGTGGCGGCAAGCCGACAATAAACTTAAATCTAAATCCTTTACAGCGGAGGCACTTAGTACAAAAATGGACAGAAACCAGTAATAGACTTGACCTATTAATATCTTTTCGGCAACATCTGCATCCAGGTATCAACTTTTAGATGATGTACAAGAAGTCAGGACGATTGTCACCCAACATCTCGACTTCCTTCTCCGACAATCCTACAACCAGATGGTCTCTCTTTCCAGCCAATCTAGCTGCATTTTCCCTGCGTAACAACAAGTGCATCGCAACACTTCCACCGAATAGAAAGACAATCATATAAGCCATGACGGTTGCATGGCCGACCGTAAATTTTGGTGCCTTGAAGTAGATGTTACTGCTGACGATACCATTAAGATTTCCCCATCCAATGACGAATCCAAGAACGATACCACGCTTGTAGACGCCCTCAGCATTGTTGCTAACCCATGAAATAGTGTTGGAGATACATGGATAGATACCGAGAGCACCCAAGAAAATACCTGCATACTTGACGTGAGGGCTTTGCGATCCAAGTAGCATGGCAAATCCGACAATACCGAAAATTGAGATACAAATGTTGAAGATTCCGCGGCGCTTGGTACGATCGGCCGCGAGGCCAAAGATAATTGTAGAGAATGCAGCGAAGGCATACGGGGGTACGGAGAGTAATTGTGCGCGAGTTGTCTTGTAGCCCATCTCAGCTACAATGGTTGGTAAGAATAGAGAGAAGGAATACAGGGCCATGGCTACTGAACCATAAATTCCCATGCCGAGCCACATCTTATAATCCTTGATGGCAGCCCAGAAGTATTCCATCCTGAATTCCTCGTGCTCAGCACTAGATTGGTTGTCGAACTTGAGTCTGCGAACAACTCGGGCACGATCTTGCCCCGAAAGGAAGGTAGCGGTATCAGGGAAGTCATGAACAAAATAAAATGATAAAAGACCGAAGCCGATTGTGACAGCACCTTCAATGATGAAGATCCATGCCCAGCCCGGTCGTCCTCCTAGACCATCCAGTTTGGTAATTGCGGCAGCAAGGAGACCTCCGAAGGACCCGGCAAAAGCGGCGGCGGAAAAGAAAATTGCCTGGAAAGTCAGTAGTGAAAAAGCAAGAATGCACAGTGCATCAACTTACTGCACGAACACCAAACTCATCTCGCTTGTACCAGCATGAGAGGAAGTAGTTTACACCAGGGTATAGACCAGATTCAGCCATTCCCAGAAACCAACGAGCAGCCATCAAGCCAGACCAATTTTTAACATAACCCATTGACAACATGGCGACACCCCAGATAGTCCTAAAATATATTAGGAAACGGGATATGCTAAGAAAGGAGGCTCGACGTACATGATAATTGGAATGAAGATTGATGGCTTGAGGCGTTTCAAGAGAACGTTTGTCAATGGCTCGAAAACCGAGTAGGAGATGAAGAACACGGAAAGAGATAAATTGTACCGTCCAGTTGACATGTTATTCAAGTCCTTCTGCAGGCCATCGATCTTCGCATTGCCAATGTTCGTTCTGTCCAAAAAGGCTAGGAGGTAAAGGACACAGAGCTATTGTAAAATCAGTACTTGGATTAGGAAAAGAAATTATTATTGTGGACGTACCCAAGGCATCAAATACAAGTCTAGCTTCCAGACAAGTTTTCGGTCGATAGCTTTGCGCTCTGCGTCTGAGAGGTTGGCATCAGGGTCGTCTGGGAGGGCAGAGCTGATTGGCGCAGAAGCGATAACCTTTTCCTCATCGCTGGTGCTGCAAGTCCTAGCACGTCCATCGGACTCCATGATGTTGAAAAGTAATATGTACTAGAAGCAAGAAAGGAGGAAGAAAGGAAAGTTTAAAAAAGAAGCAACTTTCCAAGAGGGAAAATTAGTCGGACGGAATGGTCCTGGATACCCGCATGTATTTAAATTCGACCTGTGGCCAGCATGGGGCGCTGCGGAAGAACGAGTGTATGTTACTCTTAGAATTATGCAGTCGGAAATCCCTCCTCTGTGCTATGTTACTTTGCGCCGATGCATGTATCAAGGGTATTTTGTTCGGGAAAGAGCCCATGGTAAGTTAGAAATTTAGGAAGGTGCTATATGTGATTTTGGTAAAGGTTGTTAAAACTTGGACTCGTATTGGTCCAAGACCCCTCCCGGAAATGGTGAATCCAATGATACCCTTGAGGAAAAGCTACCAAAACGCCGCCATGTGCAACTAGACATCTTAGCTTACGCATGAGAATTTCGTGGCATCCCTGAATTGTGCGCTATGCTTAGGTATAATCGACAGTATTTAGGAAGTTGAGTAGTATTATACCCTAGTTGATCTACTCGCAACAAACAGTAAAGTACCAATAGTATGGTAACCACTCACTGTTTCTTTTGAATGTACGTATTGAAATTGGAAAACTAAACGAATACAGCGTGCACGGAGTAGATGAAGGGCTTGAAATGATTAGAAAACAATGGGAAAGCGGGAAAGGCAGGGGAACAAGAGAGGGTGGAATCTTTGGCTATTCATCATTTCCGAGTGAAAAAACTGTAACGTGCATAATCTATCGAATGTCTATAATGTTTTTTTTGGTTGTGGTGTGGTTGTACGAGAACGGTTCGGTGCTGATCTGTGGCTGCTCCGGCGAAGAAAGTAAGGGAGAGGGGGTAAGACTCATGATTCACAATAAGAGATCTCATATCTGATCTGGAGGGGCCATTGCAGTATGTCAGCGTATCAACGTATTAGATTAACCAATACTGCCTGAAGTCCTGGTGGAAATGAGGAAAGGAATTATTACTTTGCCCCGCATCAACGATTAAAAGCCTCTTTGTGTGAGTACCTGGCGTACTAGTGTACTCCATATGGTGAATAGAATCACGTGCCTTATCATTCTTGCTCCACCAGGGGCTCTTTAACCAACTGCCGAACGAAGGGATCGAGCACTGAGTTTCCATTTACTCCACATTGCAGGGCAACACACCTGTTTTTCCTTTTTTTTTTTTTGGTATTTTTTCCCTCCAGGGAAGGGGGGGGGGGGTGACGTTCAATACCTTCCTTATATGTTTACCATGGCCACCACTGAGTTCTTCGCGTATCTCTTCCCGTAGGTGGGGGGATCAGCACTCTTACTAGTAGTAGACATGGGAAAATACGGGGCTTGAAGATACGGCTATACCCGCTCTGTATGGGGAACGCTATGTTCAATATGCACCTTCATCTCGAAGTATATTTCATTGAGTAGATCACATTGCTCATTGTCAAAGTTTTCAAGGCTAAGGGGACTATATCGTGCCCTAAGCGGTAATTCTTGACGATCCGATCAGTTTCCGAGCCTGAGTTATCTATGTCTATGGGGCATGAACTCGCATCAATCGGCGCTAATGAGGAGAGGTTCCCCATCCACCAAGGCTAATCACAATTATCTGACAATGCTATACCTTTTTCACCTCCCATGAACCAGTCAAGATTTTTTGATCCTTCAGTTTGCCATCTTCGCCAACTTCAAGGATGCCAATGTCGGCTCCCTCCAAGTTTACCAGCCTGGCCTTGGCCCCCTTGACGGTATTGTATAGGCGAACTTCAACGTCTTGGGAATAGTCATATACAGTCTTGGTTTGCCCTGATTTTCCGAGCACAAGAACTGTATTTTCTCGGACATATAAGGGCAGGGTATCGAAAGCATGATTTTCCTTGAACCAACCAGGCCCGCTCTTCACTTCATTGGTGAAGAAGTTGGTCCACTTACCTTTTGGTAGGTAAAATTCGACATCACCCGATTCTTCAAAAATTGGGGCCACCAGCAAACTTTCTCCAAACATGAATTGTCGGTCAAGATACCATGATGTAGGGTCATCTGGGAATTCCAAGCACATAGCTCGAAGTGATAGAGGTATACCCAACTCGACAGCTTCTTGAGCCTGTGAGAATATATATGGCATAAGTCTTGCTTTCAACAATGTCCACTTTGAAAGTACCTTGGAGCAACCTTGATCCGATGTATCGTCCTCATCTACAGTCCATGGTACACGGAAAGAGTTACTGCCGTGAAGTCTGCTGTGAGAGCAAAGTAGACCAAAAGCAACCCAACGTTTGTAGATCCAAGGAGGAGGGTAGCCCTCAAAGCCTCCAATATCGACTGACCAAAAGGCATAACCGGAAAGTCCTAGAGATAGACCTCCTCGAACCGATTCGGCCATAGCTTCGGGGGTTGACTCGCAATCACCGCCCCACTGCAATGGGAACCGTTGAGTTCCGGCAGTTGCACTACGTGCGAAGAGAACGGCTTCATCCTTTCCGTATCGGTCTTGCAACGCCTCGTAAACAATCTTGTTGTACAAGAACGCATAGTAGTTATGCATCTTTCTTGGATCGAGAGACGAGTCGAACCACTGAACGTCCTTAGATGGAATGCGCTCTCCAAAATCGGTCTTAATTGAATCGACTCCTTTATCAAACAGACCCTTCAGACATTCTACGTACCATTCCGTAGCTTCGGGGTTCGTAAAATCGATAATGGCCATTCCAGTCTGCCAAAGATCCCACTGGAAAATGTCGCCGTTCTTGCGCTTGAGTAGGTAGCCTTTGCTCGCAGCATATTTGAAGACAGGAGATGCTTGACCCAGATATGGATTCACCCATACACAAACTTTTTTGACAAGTCCTACTAGTCGTTAGCAAAAGGCCCTCATCCAACCAAATCAGGACTTACCAGATTCTTTCAGCCGAGAGATTTGAGCTTTCGGATCTGGAAACATTTCGGAATCGAACTCAAAATCACACCAGTGAAACGCTTTCATCCAGAAACAATCAAAGTGGAAGACTTCAACTGGAATATCTCGCGCACTCATCCCCTCGAGGAATGAGTTCACGGTCTTTTCGTCGTAGTTTGTGGTGAAACTTGTGCTCAGCCAGAGTCCATAACTCCAGCTAGGTACTTTTCCAGGCTTTCCCGTCAAGATTGAATACTTTGTTAAAACTTCTTTCGGTGTTGGACCATAAATGATGTACCTTCGACGGTCAGTACTTGGCTTTCAGGAAAAACACAGCGGGAGTAACGTACCATTTCAGTCTTTGGCCTTCCACACTTGTCTGAACTCGGCAGCATCTCTCACTTCCGATTTCTAAATCCACCTTGTCAGGCGTGTCAATGAATATACCATAGCCTCTCGAACTCATCCAAAATGGCACGTTCTTGTAGGCTTGGTCACTGGAAGTGCCTCCATCGGCATTCCAAAGCTCAACAGCCTGGCCGACTCTATTAAAAGCCCCAAAACGTTCTCCCAATCCATATACAGATTCACCTACTGACAGTGTCGATTGAGTGAAGATATAATGTTCAAAGTCCCGCATGTCAGCGATTTGCATCGGGTTACTGGTTGCTGGACTGTATGCCAAGCCAATACTTCGATTGAGGAGGGAGGTAAGTTCTTTCGAACCATCAGTGGCATGGAATCGAATATCGAGGTCATGATTGCCAGTCTTTACGGTCGCAGACAAGGATCCGGATTTCAGGGTGGTAGAGCTTTCGGTCTTTGCGATTTCGGCTTGGCTACTTTCTGGCTTTCCTGCTGGAAAAAGATCGAAATGAGGTCCTGGATTGCGAGCACCTAGAAAGTGTGTAGTTTCGACGGAGATAACTCCATCAAATGGAGCTTCTATATCCTTTCTAAAATCAATATCGATTTCACACTCACTGGCTAGACAAACTTACAACTGTCAGGGTGCTCAAATTCAAAGAATCTGACCTGGCAAATATCTTTCTTGTGGGACAAAGCAAACTCAATGCTTTGCCATCCTCACGTTCAGTGATAGCATATACTTCTTCAGCATATTCTAATCGCTTTCCCTCCGCCGGCAACCACATTCCATTTCTGAATTTCATATTGAGAAATCTTTGTGATGTACGTTTTGGACCAAATAATCACTTTCGTGGACAATACTCAACAATCAACGTTTGGAGTTGTGCAAAAATCAAAGTCTTACGATTAATTCATCACGACGAACCTCTATCTACATAGCTAGCTTCAACAGCTGTCATCATATCATCCTCATCCCACTTCCAAGAAAACAATTTTGGGTCATCTTATTTTTGGCTAAATGCAATTTTCGCCAAGCACTCCGATACGTTGATGTTGGTGAGGGGTAGCTCTATTTATCCGCCCCACATCACATATCCACAACCGGATGAAGAATTCGAGATTGGCTTTCGCACGAATATTGTTCCGGAAGTACATCCACCGCTTTTTCCAAAGAGCTTCCACGAGTGAAGTGTCAAGAACTAGATACTTTCTGTTATTTCCACATATTTACCCCATATTTATCCCCCATGTATCACGGGCGACAACACGAGAGTCCAAGACTGCAGGTCCGTACCAAGATTTACAACGGTCTGCGGGGAAGATCAATTATCCTTGATTCAGCTACCTCCTGTCGGTTTGCATCTAGAACTGGTTTGGCTTCGACTTGGGATTCGACATTAAATCATGTCTTTACCCACTACTCATTTTAACAAAAGTATATCCCTTTATCCAGTTATAATTAGAGGGATGCGTAAATGGAACTAGAGATGCAAGACCTAAAAGGATGCTGGAGGGTGCGCTCCGGGGTCTGGGCCGCTTCGTCTGGGAGGTTTAAAAGAGCAACGATTCCCAGGTGTTAAGTTTCTTTTCTTGGGCATATTCTTCACAAAAAATATCACTCTTCCTACTCAAGATGAAGGTCTCTTCAGCCTCCCTGGCGACTTTGCTGGCCTACACCGCCAATGCCTCTTATACCAATTCTACTCCACTGTACAAAGATCCAAATGCAAGTGTGGATGACAGAGTTTCAGACTTGCTGTCTCGAATGACCATTCAAGATAAAACTGCACAATTGATCCAGGGCGATATTTCGAATTGGCGTAATATGACAGATGGCAGGTTTAATGCAAGCGGTTTAGAATGGAATATGGCTACTCGAGCTGGTCAATTCTACGTCGGTTATCCAGTTGCGCAACAGCTGATTGCGGACGGAATCAAGCAAGCGCAAGATTATCTTATGCACAACACCACATTAGGAATACCAGCTTTGGTTCAAAGTGAAGGTATTCATGGTTTCTTGATTGAAAATGCAACTATCTTCAATTCCCCAATTGGACACGCTTGCTCTTGGAATCCGGATTTGATTCGAAAGATGGGAGCAGCCATTGCACAGGAGTCACTGGCACTTGGTGTTAACCAAATATTTGGACCTTTGGGTGACTTGGCCCGTGAGTTGAGATACGGCAGAGTTGAAGAGACTTTCGGTGAGGATGGGTATTTGGCAGGTGAGATGGGATATGCTTATGTTAAAGGTACGCCAAACAAGGTGCTCATTCATGAATTTGATTCTAATCGAACCAGGTCTTCAAGCTGGAAATGTCAGCTCGACAGTCAAACATTTTGCAGCGTATGGAACTCCCGAACAAGGGTTGAACACTGGCCCACAACATGGTGGAGAGAGAGAACTTCGAACTACCTATCTCCCATCCTATAAGCGCATAATCTTGGATGCTGATGCATGGTCTATTATGTCGGCTTATCATTCATATGACGGTGTCGCGCTCGTAGCCAGTCACCATATTCTTACGGAAATTCTCAGAGAAGAATGGGGCTACAAGTACTGGGTAACTAGCGATGCCGGTGCTACAGATCGTCTTTGCGATAACTTCAAGATGTGCCGATCTAAAGGTAACGGGCTACCTATCGATTCAGAAGCAGTAACCATGTTTGTAAGTGATATCCGAACATATCTAATCAGAAACTCTGCTAACTAATTCCAGGCACTTCCTGCAGGAAATGATGTCGAGATGGGTGGCGGCTCCTTTAACTTCGAGAAAATCCCAGAACTTGTGGAATCTGGAGTCTTAGATATTGACATTGTTGACACCGCTGTATCGCGTCTTCTCCGTGCCAAGTTCACCCAGGGTCTTTTCGAAAACCCTTATCTTGCGGTGCCAGCTAACCAAACAGCATCTTTGATCCACACTCCAGAAACCATTGCTCTGGCTCGAGAACTAGACGCTGAATCGATTGTTTTGTTGGAAAATGGTGAAGGTGTCCTCCCTCTTTCAAAGACGGCGAATGTGGCTGTAATTGGACCTATGGCGCATGGATTCATGAACGTGAGTTTTGCAAAATGGTATTGCTATATACGCATCTAACATTCTTTAGTATGGTGATTACGTCGTCAACGGAAGTATGTACCGTGGAGTAACTCCATTAGATGGTATAAAAGCTGCTAGTTCAGGAAGTAAGATTTTGTTTTCCAAACAAAAATTCATGCACGTAGCTAACATTTTCTAGCTATTACTTATGCCCAAGGCTGCGAGCGCTGGTCAAACGATCAATCCGGATTTGATGAAGCTGTTTCCGCCGCTCAAGCTGCCGATGTCGCTGTTGTCGTTGTTGGAACATGGTCAAGAGACCAAAATCAACTTTGGCAAGGATTAAATGCCACGACTGGAGAGCATGTTGACGTGGCTTCCCTAAACCTTGTCGGTGCTATGCCCCACCTGGTCAAAGCTATCATCGATACCGGAAAGCCTACCGTAGTTGTTTTCTCCTCCGGTAAACCCATCACCGAAGCATGGATTTCCGAAAGCGCATCTGCATTAGTCCAACAATTCTACCCCTCTGAAGAAGGAGGAAATGCACTCGCAGATGTCCTTTTCGGTGACGTAAACCCAAGTGGTAAATTATCCGTTGGCTTCCCCTACGACGTCGGCACCACCCCAATTTACTACGACTACCTGAACTCTGGACGACCAGTTGATGCAGGTAAAGAGTACGCCAACGGCACCCTATCCTTTGGTCATCAATACGTCCTCAATTCCCCTGTGCCCCTCTACGAGTTCGGCTATGGAAAGTCTTACTCCACATTCGAATATTCAAACGTTACTCTCTCGGCCAGAAATGTTAGCGCTACTGACACCATTACTGCTACTCTCTCAGTCACCAACAACTCAACACGTGATGGCTCGGAAGTTGTGCAACTCTACATCCAAGACGTGATCAGCAGCGTCGTTGTTCCAAATATTCAACTCAAGGGTTTCCAGAAGGTGGCCATCAAAGCAGGTGAAACGGAAACGGTAAATATTGATTTGAAGGTGCAGGATGTTGGTTTGTGGGATATTAAAATGAAGTATGTGGTTGAGCCTGGAGATTTCGTCGTCCATATTGGAAGTTCGAGTGCGGATTTCAGGACGAGTGCTACTTTTACGGTGGTTTAGAAATTGTAATGTTTTGTTTTTAGATCTTATATATTATAAATTTGAGTATAATAAGATTCGATGTTATAAATTATTTACGTTTTATCGTTGTGATCTTTGTTAGACATTCCATGCAGATACGGTATTGAAGCTCAGATACTGGATAGCTCAGAGTCAGCGGAGGGAGGTATGATGATTTATACTATTGCATAACCACAATTTGCTTTAACATCTTTCCTTCTCATCTCAAATTCTCAAGTTCTCAAAACTTCATTCACTGATATGCTGATTTCCTCAAGCGATAATATTTCGTAGTATCACTTATTAATTAGGAAGTGTACATATAATCTTATAAGATCATCTCATCCTATTTCTTCTAATCCCTTCTCATCTCAAAATTCCCTAGTAGCTACCAGCAATTATGATTTATGAAGGATAGGATTAAAATTGATGTAATTAAGATTATCATGAAGTATATAAATAACTACTTACTCAAGTAATATAAGGTTAAATTTGAAGATTCAAGATTGAAGATTCAATATTTAAGATTTAAGGATTCGAGTGGACGTGATGTGAGAAGTATTAGGTAGGTAGGTAGGTGGTGTGGGATTTCGTGTTTTGAAATTAAAATCGTGTATTATAAATTAAGTATGATCATAGGTAGGTAGGTATTCATTTATTCATCTGAATGGGATTTAGATATATTGTTTTAGTTTTAATTTTGGTAGATTTTTATTACTTTGGGGGCGGAGGAAGAAGAAAAGAAGGAGATAATTCCTTTATTTGTTTTTATAGTTCATATAGACCGGGTAGAAACAAAGGTGTAAAATCAAATTTTCTTCTAGAAACTCTGAATTATTATTAACATTTCCTTATTCCCTTTTCCCTTTGCCATTTTCTTTTCTGCTTATTCGTTCTATACATACTAAGAATAAAAAGACGAGATGAAGAGTTAAATAAATACCGACTAAATATAAATATAAATATTAATATAAATATAACATTACCACTTTCAAATTTCAAACAATTCCCCCAGATAATTATCTTTCACTTCCAAGGTTCATATACTACCAAAAATAGCCCAAGAAATACAATTCCCAAGTTATTTTTAACAATTTCAAGATAAAATATAACCTAGTACAGGAACAAGAACAGGTACGTATACTACTACTCCGTAACGTCAAAGGATCAATAAGATTGTGAGGTAAAGATCTTATTTGATATGCTGACAGAGTTGACCAAATCTGACTAAGAAATTTTGATCCGCGAATCTTATGATGATGTCAGATTAGGTACTAGGGGTATCGTATGATTTGGGATCTGGATCTGGGATTTTGGGGCTCGAAGGAAGATTATAGGAGGAAGGTGAAAAGGTGGGGTGTTTGAGTAGTAAGTGGGATAAATATTAAATATTAGGATTCACAATTGTTTGAGATAGCCGAAAATCTTTAATGATGAAAATACTGTTCAAAGGGTGCTAATCCTCAAGGTCCCCAAAATATGTACCGCGTGCTGTGAACCAAGTGTATTGCAAATGCAAATATGAAGATAAATAATACATCGTCTCGAATGTACAAACGTCGTTACTCGTATGTAACTTTTGCTCTTCCGCTCCTATCAAAACACGTCTCAAAACTCATTCCTCACTCTCTGTTCCTTCTAATATCCATTACAAGCTCCACTTCCCGCCACACTATCCAAATCCTTCGGAATAATGCCCGCTTGCACAGCGTCCTGATAACTCCATCTATAATCATTTAATTGAGATTTCCAGGTCCAGAAAATCCATCCTAATGCATGATTTTCATATCCCATGACTTGTGCCTCGAACCATTTTTTGTAGAATGCACCTTGGGTGGATGTAGACCAGCCTCCAGTATCTTGAACGTCGTCTGGAGGAGAAATTGAAAATTCGCCTACGATTGTTGGGCCGCCTGTGCTGGAGATCGGATTGTATGTGCAGGAAGATTGGAGGTAGGCATCTTGGGAGACGGAGATGTCAGACCATTTTAGATAGCGGTGCTCGTCGTCTAGCAGAGAATTTAGTTAGAAGAGGATAATCGTATGAGAATATGGTAATATGGTATAGTAAAGCATGTCAAAATGGACGGGGAAACTTACAAGCCAAGAAAACGCCATCACCAAACCCGGAATTCGGATCGCCAGAACCCCATCCCTGATCCATAGCCTGAACGTGCAAGTAGTTATTTGAGGTAACACCCAACGCGTTCTCCGCATCTCGAATCGCCTTGTAAGCCGCAGGATAATAAGATGAAATCATACCCGCAACCTGTCCAGCATTCTGAACTGGCTCATTCACAATACCAATCATTCCAACATTTCTGAGAGCATTATTTTGGTGAATATTGGTCGCGAGCCAAGCAACAAACTTTTCTCCACGAGCATATTGGTAATCAACGTAGAAACCTGGAGTTGGAGCATTTTGTCCAGTGTCAGCGTTATACGCAACCTGTGCTCCGGGCGCTCCATGCATATCAATGATGATGTAGAATCCAGCATTTGCAGCTGCGTCGCAGATACTCTCAAGATATTGTAAACCTCCCTGAGGAAAGTGTTCACTATCGGAGTAAACCAAACTTTCCATCATCCAATACCCGACAGGGATTCTAACCGTGTTGATACCGAAACTTGCCATTTGTGCAATATCATCAGCAGTAATCCAAGTCTTCCAATGATTTTGGAACGCGGAATTAGCTTGCTCCTGTCCCAAGCCAGATACACAATCAAATTCGGATGCGTATCCTCCACAGCCCATAGCCGACCAGGCGTCTTCAGCAATCCACGGTTCAAAGACGAAAAGAGATCCTAGATTTACACCTCGGATCTTGCCAGACGCCGGAGTCCAGCGACGTGTCGTTGAATTTTTCGCTTGTGGATCGAAGAGAGAAACACCCTCTTTAGAAAAGAGCTCTTTATCACCTGGCAGCCATGCACTGACTGTGCTGGCCAGAAAGGCAGTGAGGAGTGTTGTTGAGATGTACATGGTGAGCCGATGAATTGAAAATATTATCGAGAACACAGGTTTGAAGCAGTGTCAAAGAAGAGAGGAAGTAAGGAGTGAGCAAATAATTTCGGTCCTAGATTCACTGTCATAAAACAAGATGAACGTGCAGAAACTGTGCAAAGATTGCAGATGAAATAGAGGCCCGCTGCCAGATATATGTAATTGTCACGAAGGACTTGAGATGATAGAGAACAAATTCAGGTGAGAGAATGATGCATCTTATAAGATATTCTGTGAGTGATGACATAGAAGGATATGTTCCTTCCGGCATACTACCCGTCTCAAATCATCATTCCATTACTTGATGAACTTCATGTTTCCTCACTATGATAGTCATCATGACCAATTACAAGATCAATCAGGGGATACAAGAATATTTGTCGTTGTATCCTCCCGTCCTACTAGAAAACTAGTTCGTGATCGTGTAGTATTGAGGTTACACGAGATGGTCCCAAAGACATCTAGAAATAAAATTAGTTAATAAACGAAGGAGGCAAATATGACAGACAGGGGGTAAATTTATTTCTAGCTCTTTTTTTACCTGATCCCGACCGGAAACAAACCCTTCAGACAGTGTTAGTAAGGTATACAAGTTGAATCTGCTACCAAGAATGTCCAAAAGGTTCAAATTGATATTTTGAACTTTAAACTCGAGAATTTTGATTTGCCGTTACATCCAGCCACACAGGGCAACTGTTCCTTCAACTTGTGCCCATCAGACAACAAGGTTAAGGCTGATATAAACAGCAGCCGGTCGGATATCGCTTGAATCCATTATTTGCATTGCAGTATTTGTCAATTTGCCCCAAAAATTTGACTAAATCGTGGCCGCTTACGCGACGGTGATCAATATCCGATACTTCCATACGAGAAAATTGAATAACTAGGCAGTAGTGAATATTGAGAGATTAGGAGTTCCTTCATCAGATAGATAGGAAGGTGTCGTGGGAATTATGACTAAGCAGGTGGGCGTGCTGACACCTAGAGGAACCAGAATCCTACTAATTTCCTTTTGCACAGCACGTTTCAATGTCACCAAACTGCCGATTTGACCTAGAGCATGCCTTTTGACATATGCAAAAGGTTTTAACGGCATCTTTTGTGGGAAGCCGTTGGCCGCACTTGCTTTTCCTTGGTTTCTCGTTTCTTTCTCTGCTTCTTCTGGAAGGAGCCATTCCGTGGATGAATACTGATCATCATAGAAGCTACAAGGTAGTCGCTCCTTCTATGGAGAGTTGAACTTCTTAGCACCCGCTCCACGGGAGAGAGCTCCAACCAAGGTATACTATTGCACCTAGAGGATACTGTTGCCCCCGGAGGTGATGTTGAAAACATAGCCGCGGCAGAATAAAATGACATCGAAGCGATGTGTTCATGTTGGATTTTGACAATCCTCAAGGAATAATAACTGAATATGAGAACTTCCAGAGTGAAAGCATATCTTCTGATGTGCGACGAGGTTTCAAGGAAGAATTTCCTCATCAGATTTGGTATTGTCTGGTCGCAATTGATCAAAGTGGGGAGAAACGGAACGGATAACCATGTTCTACTCAGGATGAGCTATACCACATCCCCGTCGAGAATCTTCCGCTCTGCCGTATCGTATTTCAAATTCACAAATGGTGACGTCAAAGGAAGGATATTGGAGGTTGAAGATGTTGCAATACGGATATGAAGGGGGAAGTTAGTTTCTGGGGTGAGGAGCATGATGTTGTGAATTTTTAGGTGTCACTGAATTGGCGCCATGATGTGGATCGGTTCACCAAACCACTAAACCCTACAAGTTTAGTACCTCGGCGTCCTTATCACATTACAATCAGCAACTTCATTTGATTCTTCCGGAAAGAATCATCAATAACCTCACAATTGATTCTGTAAATGAATCCTTTCTGCTTGCACAATATTTGGCACTCTTAATTTTCTGCTTCATCCTCAACAGGTCTACACCGATACGAAAGGCAATGCTTATAATCGCGATAGAAACGTGACCCAGGAATATGGTCGATTTATAGCTACTAAGGCTGAGTCACTTACGGGTAGTTAGGAAATGAAATATGTCGACGGATTGCATTCTTCGTTGCAATTTCCCAGCCATTTTCAAAGATGCATTCTAAAACTATCTTTTTCAAAAACGCAAACAGCTCCTAAATTCTAAGCTGTTGGTTCATATCTTACTTGTTTATCAACTCGTACAACCTGCGAGGATGTCCAAAGTCAGCGTTCTGCAGGAGAAGTTCGAAAGCTAGCGCTTGATGACTTGGTAGAGCGTCCGACTTCAGGCAGCCAAGTAAAACTCAAGTAAGATTAATTCCTCTACATAAATATCAGTGAACAACCTTCGTCGATTTTGGACTGCTTTTACTGGTAATAATACATCATGGTTCATCTGAAGAATGCAATATTTGCTTTCGCGGCTCACATCTCCCTCGGCAGCCTTAAAAACCCTCTAGGCGCCGGCGTCGCTGCCTCTTGTGCATGCACTAAGACTATACGTCCTGATATTACTATTGGGCAACCCAAAAACATATCAATCATAAGTTCGAACGTCACTCGATCCTATCTCATCGTCGTTCCACCTCTTTACACAAACCAGAACTTAACCCCTGTCATTTTTTCTTTTCATGGAGGTAATCGAAATGCTTCGGAACAACTTACTCTCGACCAAATATCATATCCAGAATTTAACAATTTCTCTATAACCATTTACCCTCAAGGCGTAAAGGTAGGATTTATCCTCACGAATGAGCCATAAATTGACAATATTAGGGAAAGTGGGAAGGCGATCCCGGAAACACAGCAAACGACACCCAGCTTGTCAGCGACATAATCGACAGCCTCAGCACAACCTACTGTATAGATTCCAAACGCATCTGGGCCACTGGTAAATCTGATGGAGGGGGTTTCTGTAATACCCTAGCCTGTCATCCAATTCTCTCCACTAAAATCGCTGCATTTGCACCTGTCTCTGGCGCGTTCTATATCGATACTCAACCTTGCCATCCACATAACGTCACGATACCATGTTCGCAGGGACGTCCTAAAATCCCTATGCTTGAATTCCATGGCGGCAACGACTCGACAATTCATTATGAAGGACAAGCTAATCGATCCGGTGAATGTATACCAAGTATTCCGCATTGGGTACGGGAGTGGGCTTTGAGGGACGAATTGGGGTTGGAAAATGTTACGACTGTTTTGACAAATGATACGGTTATATACAACTATGGAAAGGGAGATGATGAGGGCTTGGTAAAACATGTTTTTGATAAGAATCTGGGACACGATTGGCCGAGTACGGTGTTAAATGATGATTTGATTGGACATGGGGAGGGACCGGCAAGTTTTAATGCTACGCCGATTATTTTGGATTGGTTTCAGAAACATGTTTTGCCATAGTTGATTCAAATAGACTTACTGTTTATTATCAGGGACTATGTATGTGTGCATGAAAGGACGGGGACGCGTTTTCAAACAATACTTATTTCTGGGTACATTGAAATTCGGTTCTAATTGTGACAAAAATAGCAGTTGCCAAGTTCCTCATTCTTATTCCCTCAACGCTCAAGTCCTTCATGCCTTTAGACTTCACATAACACTTTCGAGCACCCAATAAAGTTTAAACTGGAGCAAACATGTTGACACCCTCTCTATGCCATATCTCTGGTTGCATCTATTGCACCACGGTACCCTTCATACTTGTCGGGTCTTTCCTTCGTTGTCATGAATCAACGAAAGAAAAGTTGTTATTAGAAATTATTAGCACCTTCCATTCACCAGGTTGAAATAAATGACCGAGTAGTTTTTCTATGTTGATGATTTGCAAACTGTATGTGCAAAGATTAGGTTAAGATATGAGTTTGTAAGTGTTTCATGTATGTTAGCAGGCCTTCTTTGATTAATAACCTTTATAAGTAGAAAACTTAAGGATCTTGAATTTATTAATATGCTTTATATGTGTAACATTTGGAATCATGCTTCTTTCAAATATTAGATCTTTAAAGTGAATATTTAATGCACAGATGTCTTCCGTCCATAACCTATATTACAGTAACGCCATGTCAACAGTTTCCATGAAGGGGCTTAAGCGAAATTTGTGCATAGGTTCTTTGAACATTCACACACAATTTAAATCCATGATTATCGGGTGTCATTATGACAATAAAAAATTGAATTTAATATTAAGGTGGAGATCTAAACCCTTATCACCATCGGACTAGCCACCATCATCGAAATGCAGCATGGATCGATATCTATACATCAAAAGGTTTAAAATCGGAATAGTGATATTATGCGTTGATTTGGAGCTCGAGGCCAAACACCGGGATAAATTGCTACAAGAACGTGAAACCTATAAAGTATAAATGCTAGTTTGAAATTGATGATTTTCTGATTTCTGTGCTTCAAAACGGCGGTACTAAAAGGAGGGAAGTCCCACTTCTGGGGCTACAATCGTAGGTCATCATACAAAAGATGGCAAGGGGGTTATGTTGTTCGTCTTGATGATTCTAGGGGAGAGCTACTTGTATTTGACTGGAAAATTTATGTTGTGGTGTTGATTAGTACGTAGTTACGTTGACTGGGGGCATGGCCGTTCCAACTACATTTGCGAGATAAAGCTCTTATAGCAACAGGAAATCAACAACATTTCCATTAAGTAGTCCAGCCGCTATATTCTCATTAGCCAAGACTCCAAAGTCCAACTTCTTCCCCATAGACTAAGTTCAGCTTGCACTTTCAAAGCTTTTGAATTCGATATCTCATAGCTTTCAACGGCGGTACTCAAAGTACCTTGTTGCGATATTGGCGTATTGACAATAAATTTTGGTATTTATATGATTGCCTTTGAGAAGGACTGGTCATTTGACTATTGCTGTTGTTTTAGAAGAGGAGAAAAAGTGAAACAACTACAAAAACCCCAGAAGACAGAATCCTGAGTACCTGCGACCTAAAGAAGTAATCTGAGACAATGAAGAACTGAAGGCTAGAAGGGGTAGTGGATGGAATCGAGTCCGCCTTGATTGCCTGTCCCATTGTCATTGTCGTTAAAACCCTCACTTACTAAGACACCAACGGTGGTATGAAAATGAATTCCTCCCATGCTGTTGCTGACCAGAATTCACAGTTTCCTTACCCACAGAAGTTGGAAAACCTTCACTAACCATGATATGAACACAAAAACTTAGTCCAATAGCATCTACTTGATTCAAATTCTGCATCTGTGAAATGTTTATGAGTAAGCTCAGAGAGATTTTCGGTGCCGGTACCTCTTCAGGACCAGGAGCCGTGGCATCAACTCTTCCACCTCAAACAAAAATTTGATGTCATCCACAAATTCAGACAAGCATGCTTACAGATAAAGCACAAGGTGTGCCGTACTGACTCATGCACTCATAAGAACAAAGAGTACAGAGTAGTCATTGAACGCACTGCCGGAGTCCTCTCCTCTGAGAATTTCGAATCTGATACAAGCATAATATCACCTGTCCCCTCACTTACGTCAACAGTGATAAAGTCATGAAAGGTAAATCGAAGTCATTGCGTAGCAGTTCCTCGCCAAAAGTCACACCTCCCGAAGAGTAATTCGAGCTCGAAGTTATGGCGTCGGGCAATTCTAGATTCATATGCGCCATGGGTGTGAGCGAGGATGTGCTCAAGCTCTGAAGTTTGAGGATCAGGAGAAAAGAAAGACATATCGAGTTTGGAGTGAAGTTCAAATAATGACAATAGAATCACGATGACGAGCCGAATGAGGGTTTGCCTTAACTCCAAGACTTTGCTGGCGAAGAAATTGAGGGATACGAATGAATTAATAGGACATATTCTAGTTTATACTTTGGTTTGAAGCCATTAAAAAATTTTCCCACACAATATTCCAGTGTCTAGAATCTTAGAACAGCTAAGCTCAAGATCAATCATCCAATCAGGCGGATTACGGGCTATATTGAAGAGCGTCTAATGCTATGTTTAATTGTGGACATTGCAGTTGGCCGCAACAGAGAGCAAGGCCAGCAAATATTGCTTAACTTATTATTAACCCATTAAGACAGGTGATAATCCAACTAGCCATGGAGGAATGCTATCAAAATTTCCTAACAACAAATGGCCTGATTTGCCAATGCATGCATTTATGGCTGGATACAGTCCCGTGAAATCGCAGATTCCCAGCGGACGGACATATGAAATGAGAAGAAGTCATTTTATTTCGAGAGTTGGAGATTGTGGAAATGAAAATTCAGCAAATACTCATCGCTAATATTAGAGATCGCAAATCGTTCTTTGGCACAAGCTGCCTGCTGCGTTACACATTCTGTTTGTGCTTTTTTACTCTGGTAAACATAACTGGGCTGACTAATCAATCACAAGCAAACAGAGACATGCTTGGAACTTCAATGCGAACATGTCCTGTATGAGACAATCCCCGTCTGATAGATGGCAGGGGTGGCACTGCGCAGGTGTGGCTATGCTTAGTGTGCTTGTGTGAGATCTCAGCCTATGAAATTGTGGTTACTCACAGTGACCGTATGGCAAGCGCTAAAGGCTAGAGCTACTGGCTCCAAGATATACAGCAGGGCAATAGGTGCTTGACTAGAACCGCTGCCAAATCTCTTTGTCTGTCCGCCTATCCTTATAAAGTCATTTGTGCAAAAAGCTTTCCAGGGGTAACGTGCCTATGTAGCGGCCCCGGATAAACATCTTAACGTTGGTAACCTTCCTAAGTAGTTTTGGGTTTCCTGCATCTTTAAGACATCATAACGGCTCGTCCGATTTCAAAAGCTTTGAAACTTATACGGCAGTAAATAAATTCCATATATGCAAATGCTTCTTAATATCGTAATAGTCGACTATTTGAAAGGCCGACTATTAGCGGGCGTCATTCAGAGGTTTGATCGTTTCTCAGTGAACAAAGTGCACGATAAAAATGATTGTCGTTGCAACAATACTTTTTCTAATCTTATCGCCTTTGCTCCACAGTAACCTTAATATCCTGACTACGTGTTTGTACGGGCCCATTAGTGGCCCCTCAACGGAAAGAACGCGCTGAGTTAACGCGCATTTCCCCTCTTCTTTTTCGCACATGCAAACTCTTGCAGGAAGCCAGCCACCATGAAAATTTAATCATCTCAGTCGAAACCAAATCACCAGACCAAGTGCCATGTACTGATAGAAGGAAGTCGGTAAAGGCGTGGTTGTCAAAACATACAATTTACCTATAAGGCAAGGCCAGCGATAAGTGGGTCCGTCTTGGCTTTTCGAAGCAAGATTATTTATATCCATACATGAACGCTGGCCGGTTCATCTCTTCTTTTTTGTTTCTTGGGTGGTGTAATAGTTCCTATTAAATAGATTCTCTCACCATCCGCCGAAGCTCAAATTATTGCTGGATAAATTGCGAAGGATTTCCATTTTTCCTTTTGACGAAGGAAGTCTTTCCATCAAATATTGCAGGTTGTACGTCACCAATATGGCGCTGTCAACCTTCGCTGCAAAAGGTCTCGAGTTAGCTGAAAGGGTAGGTCATTTATTTTTTTTGTTTATCGTGTTGATTTTGGAATATTTGATGCTTTTTTTCTCGGCAAAAGGGAAATTTTACTGAAGGTTTGTTCTTACGCTGATGCTTTCGATCTTAGGGCTCCTTCATACTTTATGGTGCTGGTTATTTTACCGAAGAGGAATGGGTCAAGTTAGATGCTTTACTTCATATGGGAAAATACGTCTTCACGAATGGCCCGGAAACCTCAGTAACAAGTATTCTCGATGACTTGGAACCTAGAGAAATTTCGGCGACTGGGAGTGAAACACGATCTGAAACAAAGAGCAATGCCGAAGAAGATCTCCTTATTTTTGACGAGCCTCCCGAGGATAAAACGATAGAAGTTGATTGTTCGGCCACATCCGTTGATAGTGATAACGAGATAATTTCAAAGTTACCTACAAAAGTTGTGGAATCTAATGACGATCAGAATCAGCACAAGCAGGATCATAGGCAATCACCAAAAATAATCGCGCGGTACTACCAACCGAATAACACCGAATCCTTTCCAGTTTGGCTAACATAACTCAGCAACGATGCCTCTATCACTCCTAGTAAAACACTTGCTCGCTCGAGTTCTTCGCAATCAGTTCCTATCAATACACAATCTAGAAAGACAAACCCTTCCGTCTACATTGGCAAAGTATTCGTGGCAACAAAAAGGTTTGAAAGACCAAAAGGGTTTTCTGCCAAGCTAGAGGTTTCTTGTGGTGATAAAATCCAAGTCATGAAATATGTTTCTGGCAATGAATATCGAGGTGTGAACCAGAGGACGGGGCAGTCTGGCCACTTCGATCTCTCCATCATTACAGCAGACACGAAGACCATCAACACAGAAGCTGATGGTGGTAATACAGTTATGGGAAAAGCCGGAAGCTTTTCTATGGATGAAGTAGACAGACAAAGAACTGCCGAAGTGAGTATATACCGACATACCATCCGAATATTTCTGTTCCTTTCTCAAGTTGTGCATTTGTAATCTTCATCTCGATTTGGCTCAAAATATGGACTGCTAATGTAATCCAATTATAGTGGGAGAATGACAGTGAATATGGTGATCAATCTCCATCGATAGGGCCACGTGCACAATCAGCTACGAGACGCGGCGGTAAAGGTAAAAAGCTGGTAGGAAGCCTGGCTGGTTCCAGATTTGCCTCTCTAGCTGACATTGATCACCAAAGCGTCAACGAGAGCGAGAACGCTGCACTTGAGTCTGTGGTCTGCCGTCAGAAGACTGAACTTAATAGAGATGTGCGTGCATTGAATGAACCAGCAAATGATGACAAGGTTAGTTTTCTTTCCCTTAAATATCATTGAACCTTTTTCTTACGTACTGTCCAATTGGCCTGGTCTCAACTACGTAATATGTGTTAAAGTTAGTACATTCCTAAGAGGAGGACGCGACTGCCCAGAATGGTGTTAGTCAAATTTTGATGTGGAGGTTTTAGCCAACCGTCGAACTTTAACTTCTCTCCAGGCTAGTGCCTTCTATATAGAGGAGTTTATAAACGTATGATTTTCGTGATTGAAATCCCCATTGGTTCGAGAAAAGTATTAGAGTTCAACGGTTTCCCGCATCAAGATCAAGCCAACCCTTAGATTCTACTAGATGTCAGCTGGCATTTAACACATCCTATAAATTCCCACATCTTTTTTCTCAACTTTCTTAAACATCGAAACCTTGACATCAAAACTTAACACTTCTTAACAGAAATCGCAAATCGTGCTATATCGTCACTCAAATAGTACTTCACCAAAACCAGACGACAATATGCCTCGAAACAACACAAGAGAAAGGCTACGCAACAAGCCTTACGAAATCGTCGTCCCAAAGACCGAGGTTTGCTAGTAAGTAAACCATTCCATTACCTCTGTTTTGAAAATACGCTCAACTTTCAAATCCCAATCCATTACACAATGCATGACAGATCACTTTTGCAATAGTCGTCACTAACAAATTTCAGTTTCTGGTCGCTGCCAAAGGGATGTCGCTACACAGAAGCCCAATGTCGCGACCTCCACGAAGAACGCGAATACACACTGCAAACCAACCTCCGCAACGGCAAACCAAATCCGGGAGCCCTCTACGACTCCGTACGCGAGATTCCCTCACCGGCCCCGGGAAAACATCATCAACCAGCCAAGGACCCCTCTACTACCGTCGGAAAACGTTTCACGTGTTTCTATTGGGATCAAGGAGGCTGTAGGAGAACGGAGAAAACTTGTGATTTCCTACATACTTATGTGGGAAGTGAGGGGATCTTGCATAGGGAAGTACAGACTCAGGCTGTGAAAAACAAAAATAGGAAATTGATTGGCAAGCCGAAGTTTTCTGATACGGATAATGATGCCGAGGCAAGCGGATGGGGTGAAAGTAGTTCCGGATGGGGATTCGTTTCTCAATCACCGCCTTCCAGTGATAAGTGGTAGATATGGTGCTATCGGGTTGGGTTGGTGGAGGGGGACATAGTGATACATCCTCACTATGATGAAAGGAGCTCGAAAAATATCGCTGATCAAATCGGGGAGTATAATGTATCGAGAGGATATTTATATCTCACCAAATGGACGGCAATATCGCATACTCCAGCATTCATCATTCGAAATAGATACCACGCTCTCTGGCACAAACGACATAGGGGGGATGCATTTATCAACAAAAAACACATTCAACAAAAACGCCTTGGATTTTTCATGCCAGAATTCAAGGTTAAACATGGATTTATTTTTTTAAAAAATAGAAAATCATACTACACTTTCCTTTTCTCCTTCATGTTCGTGACGCCATATTGTCTTGGGAAGTATAATATTTCCATGTTTAAGATGAAGATTATCAATATCATGAAGTGAAATGAATGAGTATCACAACAAATGCAATGGATAAATGTATGCACCACAGTCCACGATGCAATGAGGTAGACTACGACAACAAAATACTGGAGATTGAATATTCGAGCTATGTATGTACTTGAGGAAGATATGCACAGCCAAGGATCCCCAGAAACCCCATCTCTCAAAACCAGAATTTACCTGTTCAGGACAAAGAAGTATCGCCTGGATAGCCCTATCTGTGTTTGCGTGGTGCATTCCAGTGTCCCTTCCCTCGTTTTTCTCATCTTCAAAAGCAACAACCAAAGACAGAAAACACAGTCTCACTAAACTCCAAGACAGGAAATTGCCAAGATGACACCTGTATGATAAAAGATTATGTTTTTAAAAGAAAGATATTAAAAAACTGTCTATTAAGGTACCGGTCGATCAACCAGCCATCCGAGTCCCCAGCCCAAATTCTTGTCCAATACCCATACCCATTGCCATACCCAATATCATACCAAATCCCCAATTCCACCGTTCAAATATCCATTAAAATTCGTGAAACATTACAAAATGGAGAAAATTCTTGTGAGATCATTATGAAATATTAAAAAGGCCATTATAGGTATCGACTCCTCAAAGCTTGGCTGATGGTACTCATTCTACTAGCCATACCGCCTGCCTGCATGTTGCTCGCAAGCGCCTCTTCTAGTGCGCTTTGTGTTACGGATGCGTCTAATATTCATTAGAATTAGCCCATTTGTTCTTTTCTCACTCGAAATTCACTGTATAGGAGACTTTTCGAGAACAAAAGAGTGTAATTAGAGTTTAAGAAACGCAGTGAGAACCGATGAGAGTTACTAAAGGGATAAACAAGGAACAAGAATGGAATAAGCCTTATGGCTTGAAAGTCGTGGAGAAAGGGGAAAACAGACCATCCAAATCACTGAAGCTACTACCCATACTTGGAGTTCCTCCGTCACTTCTCTCACTTTGTAACTCTGCTGTTCGGCGCGGGCTCAATGGTCCACTTGGTGGTCGTCTTCCTCCTCCGCTTACAGCATCGTGCCTTTTGTTAACGATTTGAGCAGTAGAGCTTGTGGAAGAATCGGAAGTTTGTGATTCAATTGGGATTGGTTTTTTGGTAAGAACTGGTGTTCGTCGTGAGATGTTGCGGGGGTCGCCACGAAGGGTGGCAGATGGATCGTGAGAGGTACGGAGAAAGGCGGGTTCGTCATCATCTGAAGAGGGGCCTTGGGTTTTCTTCTTGCTTGAAGGAAAGCGTCGGTAAAGAAGCCTGGACTGAAATTGAAAAGCATCGTCGTCAGAAGAGTCCTCTGGAGAGGAAAGTTGTGCCTGTTGTGGAGAGTTTCTAGTTGGATGGTCGATCGCCATTGAAGCAGGTCGTGATCGTGGTTTTGGAGAGAGGGCTCGTCGTTCTATGGTTGCATGACTGGGCCGGGGACTTGTTGGTGAAAATGTTCGGGATTGGATCGTTGTATCTCGAGATGAGGTCCGAGAGACTCGCGGAGCTGGTTAACGTCAGATATATGATATGATGCATTACTAAGATTGAGATTATACCCATTGCGCGGTTTGGTGTATCTGGTACGCTTCCATCAGTCTTCGACAAAGATGTTTCTTTCCTGTTAGATAGAGAGGATTGAATTCTTGGACCTGCGAATAATGAGCCCCTAAATCGAAGTGTCGCATGTGCCAACATACCTCCGCCTCCAGATCCTGTCCTCTTCATTCCTTCACCACCTGTCGTTTCCGATGTGCTGCCTGGAACTGGTGACGGAGCTAAAGAACCTTTCGATACCGTCACTTTCCTCATCTGCGCGCGAACCTGGGAGAGTTGTCGTTCGTAAAGCCATGCTGCTTGTTGGAGAAGGAATGCAAGAGTTACTTCGAATTTCGTAGCTCTGCGATCGAATTAGAATGAATGTGAGAATAGGAATATGAAACCTACAATGCAGCCCCTATATCAGTTAGCATATTAATACCCATAACTTACTCAAGGACTTACAATCAACATCACTATTCTTCGAAGCTTTGGACAGTATCTTCCATAGAGCCTTGTCCTTGGCTGCATCCCATTCCACCTACTGAAGTCAGTCCGATTCATTTAATTCATCAAAATATTCCATACATCTGGAGGATCAACAAAATCACCACGTGGAAATGGTAATCTTATAAACACGGTATAAGAAGGATCTGGTTCTGGATCTGGATTTGACATTGTTGCTTTTACTTGATTGTGATAATGCTGTGGATGCGTTAATGTTTCTCCATACTCTTTATCAAAGGTGGTTCATGCACTAAGATAAAGCTAGTCGTCTTTCTAGTAAATTGTGGGGTGCACCTACTACTATCAACAAATACCTACAACTACTAATCTGAAAATGTATATAGGAAACCTTTGGTGAATGCATCAGCAAGTCAACTGATTTGTAGTACAGATTTTCATCTAATTATCTAGCAGAATTTAGAAACTTACTTTGGATTGTTTAAGGGAGATAAAATTTATCGAGATTAATTCTGTGTATATATATTTCAATAATTCTTTCAGTCTTATCGACCTCGCTACCCTCTAAGCGTGGATTATCGTGGTCACGTGCCGGTGTTGTGGTTTAGTGGTATAAGACCACGGTCTTCGACATTGATTTTTTGCTTGTCAACGCCGCCCCAAAAATGGTGGTTCGAATTCTGTAAATCGTTTCGTATTTCACTGATTTCATTTTACTCGGTCCCGAAGACTATATACTGTTTGTGGTTAATTTTTTGCAACACAGTTCATGCCGGGGTAGGAATTCGGTAACCCTTTTCGAAATCCTCAGAACAAGGAACGGGTATTCGTACCCACAACTAATTGACCAACTTCCGCGTAACCATGTTGGAATTTGGTATACTGTACTCTGATTACTGTAAGTATATAAGATGTTCTTCTCTCTTTCCTTCATTTTTACAATATCTATCATCATACTTCAACACCGAATTCATATTCTCAATCAACTTCTTTTCTTTGACACCTCAACATTGATCTCGAAAATGGCACAAACTCTGACACTTGAAGAACTGCTTGCAGGCCTTGAAAATGGGAATTACGCAAAAGAACCATTATCTGATGTCGCTCCAACGTTACGTGGTTATAGTATGATCTGGAAGTTATGGGAGAAGTGAGTTATGATGTTGAGCTTCTTCAATATTAGCGTGCTAACACTTCTTGATCAAGCTACCTTACACGACTTGGTGATACTAGTTCGAAACCAACTTTGAGGGTTATCAAAGGATTTTTTACCATGCTTGCAAAGGAGCGTACTGGCTTGCTCAGCAAACGTCTTTCTGTCAAGACGTTGATTCAGTATGCAATCCGATTTAAATCTGTGTATGAGCAAAAGCATAATGAAGAGCTAGAATCGATGGAGGAGCTTCGCATTGTAAATCAATTCAATACTAATTTCCTTATCATTGTTTTGTTGACATTTATTAGTTTATAAAAACGACTCTTGCAAAGAGTCTTGGTCTGAGTACGAAAACCCGTCCAAAGCCTATCGCCAGTCTCAACGATCTACAAGATATACTTAGCTATCTATGGATGAACGATCCGGTCAATTTTCTATATGAACGAGCTAGGATTCAAATTGCTTTGTTGGTCTTGATACTTGTCTATACTGCCGCACGCCCCGGTGCCATCATTGAATCACATGCATATTACATGACTGGGCAAGCTATGTTGTATAAGGTACAATAGAGTTTGGATTCTTTTGAAACTTTCGTAGCTGACTTTTTCCGAAGGATATCAAATTCACTTTGCTACAAAATCCAGATGGTGGCCGCCCCCTCATGAGCCTGCTGCTCACGTTCAACCTCAGAAAAAATGAGCGGGGGGATGATGGAGAGGTGTAAGTAACATGCCTTCCCTTTGAAATACATCCTCTAACATACATACTAGATACAAGCAACAGATATTTGAGGATCTCACATCCAGGGAAATGTGTCCGGTCACATTGTTCCTTGCTTTAGCTTTTGCTGATGATGCTTTTGCAAATATAAAAAATATTGAGGAATTATATGATCCTAAGATATGTACCGCAAAGTACATCGATATTCCTTTTAAAGAAAGTATTTTGGATAAGCCTTTGTTCCGGAATAATCGAACGATGAAATCCTCTGAGAAAGTCGAGGCATTGACTTACCAAGCTTTCAATAACTCAATGAGGAACCTGGCACAACGGGCCGGCTTCAAGGATATCTTCACATCATATGTGATAAGACGTACTTCAGCTAACATTCTGAATCGTAAGTTTTTCCCCTATATTTTCTCCTTTTATTGTTCATATTCTTACTTGTTTAGAGCATGTCACCTCCGCAGAAAGAGGCAAAATACTCGGGCACTCCAATGACAAAATCTTTCAGAACAGCTATCTTGCTTCTCATTCTGGTGTTGATCTGCAAAGTCTGACCCGCGGGCAAGAGCAACGTACACAACAGATCAACTTCGCTCGCAGCCTAAACGCAAATCGCGGTTCACCATTAGGTATCATAACAAAGGAGTTTGTGGACGCTATCGCCAAGGACCCAAAGTTAATTGCGGCGACGAAGCGGATCGAAGATGCGAGAACAGAAGGATGTGCTTTGAAGATAAGTAGCGAAGTCAAAAGATTACGCAACATACGAAGGGACGTGGTCAACAAACATGCCTCGGAGACGCCTCTCGAACAGATAATGGGAACACGGTTTATGCCACCTTTGAGGCAAAGCATAATCAGCATGCTTTATGGGAAGGAAGATGACTTACCGCCCCCGTCAGATTTGGTCAGAAGCCTACAGAAGTTGTGCCAGAGCATGGGGAAAGATGTAGCGAACTACCGCTGTCAGAATCCGAGTTGCAAACGTTACTCCATCCCCTTCCGGTGTCAATGGGAGCTTTTTCGTCATAATCAGAGCTTATGTCAGGAGTCCAATACAAACAAAGTTCCTACGTCGAATATAACTGTGGACTTGTCATCGGTAACACTGGATTTTTCACACGAGACTCTTGAAGACTCTTCAGACGACACAACCGAAAGTTCTCCATTCGAAGAACGGGGAAATTTCTCACTAGAGTTGGACAAGGGTTTTGATGCAAGTTCTCTATTATGTCCACATACTGACTGTCTACGTCATACTAAGCCGCTTGCTTCCAAGCAGACTTTGAAGGCACATATGAAAACTCATAATCGGGGTAAGCTATTCTGCCCAAGATCCAACTGCAAGCTGCATCGTCATATCTCTCGATTCAAAACTCTAAAGGGCTTTGATGCACATATGAAGTATCATGCCAGAGAAGATCAATCCACGGAAGAAAGTCCGGCAGAAATTATAGGTGTATACGATGAGGAGTTGCAGAAATATGTTTATTTTTGATTTATTTTGGGGTTTCATTAGTGTAAATTGTAATATCCTTTCATATATATAATCATAATAAAGCATTTTTATTCATTCATAGCTTTAATTGTTCTAATACTAAACTCATAAACTTTCGTCCTTTTACTTTGTGTCTTTAAACTAATGGGAGACAAGATAGAGGGGTGTACAAAATAAAGCGACAGTAGTTGAAAGCAGTAATAGGAGTAGTGTAAGTTAGTAATACGCTGGCTGATATAATGTTACGATGGTAACAGCTGACTTGTTTTCGTAAGCTTGGGCTATATGTAAATCTGTTACGATTCGCTCAATTAATATGAGATTTCGATCACCCTAAAAACTCATATACACACACCATCAGAGCATATAAACAGTGATCCTGAGTGATCCAAGAAGTACGAGGATCTATATATTCAGTATGAATTCCTTCCTGTAGAGCTTCGTGCTCAAGATCAATCATTTAGTATACTCTACTATTAGTTACGAATTGCATATCATTATTGTCATTACTTAAGTCCCTGCTTGACGCCTAGTTATAAACCACCTCGAGAGCCTAGAGCACTTCCACGTGATCTAGACGGCAAACCTCGTAACAAAAAGACGATTTTAGACCTACTTATTTTACTAACTGCCTAATTAGGCTTTCTAAAAGTAAACCCTTTTAGAATATAGTCTATTAGTATATAGAAATGCTATATTTAAAAGGGCTAAGCTCTATAATTGTTATTATACTAGTTATGATAATTTTAAGTTTTTAGATTTTAGGTACTTTTTGTATGTAAATCATATACAAAAGGTACCTTAAGGTCATTACGCCACTAGGGTCATTACGCCACGACTTACATTATCCCCCCCTCCACTTTGTAAAGCTTCCATCCAGACACGAACCTGAGATGTCGATGTCGATAGCATGGTACGCTACTGTATATGCTGGGCGCTGGGAGGTGACAAGTATCGAGAATTGCGTATGATCCACAAATGATGCATGGAGAAAGGTTTGGCTGTCGTTGTCGTTTTTGGCTCCATCTAAGCTAAGCCAGTTAAGCGAGGTCCTTCTACAGTACGATCCATATGTGGACCCATCCAGATCACCTTCTGCAGGGGTCCAGAATTGGCGTTTGTCCCAAGCTCCAATTTTGCCCCATCGCACTTGGGATCATTTCTTTGCACCCTGTTTATTTCGACAACCTCAACACCGAGTGAAGACAAGAGGCCATGTACCACCCGACGGCAATATGCTGGGCATCAAAGGAGGGGTATGAAGACGCAGTTAAAGAGCTTCTCCTCGCCGGAACCTGGCCTCACATCTGTTTACATAACCCTCGCCTGAAGCACCAATCCCCCACGAGCTTCCTCTATTGGTATAAGGTGAAGTGCGGCAAGAAGTGTTGCATTGGTGCAATGCATGGCGTCAAAGGGTGGTTCGGGGTGTGCCAAGATAATCAAGCTTTGCGGCACGTCTCGCTCGGCCGCCACATCTTCAACCTGGGGCTAAATCGCGGGGTTTCGTGTCTTTCCCACGAGGCCACGTAGAGAAGCTTTCATTCTTCTATCATCTGTGATATGTTGAGTAACATAAGAGAAAATGAGTCGAATTGTTTTGTGAGTAGAATACATGCGGAAGTCTGACTGAAGAAAAGCTCGACACAGTTCAAAACTCATTCTCCCAGCCAGGGATCTCAAATTCTAAACTGCAATCCCATATAGTTGTATACTCATCTTGCAACCTTCTCACAGATTCCTCTCTCTGTCTTTGTGTATATGCCAATAGGTACACTGTATTCCATCTGGGGTTTTCTTTCTGAACACGTCCGCTATGGAGAAAGAAGCCGACGGGAATCCATACTTGCAGTATGAAGACGATGGCTTCGATGGTGCCTCCGGTTCTCCAGATCAGATCAATGACGACGGCGTCGAGCCTGACTTTAAAGTGGAAGATGAATATGATGTCAACTTCGGAGACTTGGACGAAGAGATCAGCAAGCTGATCAAGCCTGAGCTACTATCATCTGAGACTTCTCTGGGCCTGTATTCGACAACACCAAGTCCACTATCAAAACGAGAGCCAACACCAGCGATTTCAGCTAAGATGGAGCAAAAGTCGAGCGAGCCACAAGAATTAGCCGAAAGAAACTGCCCTCCACGGGAAGAATTGCTTGAACTAGAGAGAGCCTAAATTAGACGCCGCCTATTTTAAGGTCTATCGGTGGGACTTCCCTACCAAAGGGAGCCATAATCGGCTGCTCCAAAAACAGGTGAGTCATGGACGTGAACTTGGATCGCCCACGGCGCCTTTTTAGGATGTCCATGAGGGCCTAAACTGGGCAGGCGGCCGACCTTAACGGCATGTTCGCGGTGAGGCTTCCTCCAGATGTAGACAAGTCGTGTGGCTCCTAAGCATGCGATATCCAGAATTGGCTTGGACTTAAGATTGTCGTCAAGGTAAAGAGGAATAATTTTGGAAGGGGTTGGGTTGGTGAAACACTACAAAAGAAAATGAAGAAGTTGTCATCGAAAGCAGACATGAGGCGCAACGCCTTATGAGAAGCAATTCACTGGTATCATTGTATCGTACAGTTTTCCCACACCCTTTGTAGCAAAAAGAAAAGAAGAAAAAACCCCCAACAATACGCCGCACAATCCTAACTCCCCAGTCCTCGTCTCGCCTATGCAATTGCCTGTTCCTCCTTTCCCAGACGGTCTATCGCTCTGTTGAATGCATCTATCATCCCATCGTACATTATATCGTTATCGTGGAATGTGCCTGTGAAGATCGCTCCATCCCTAATTGGAAAAAGAACATGTCGGAGCTCGCGAGCCAATGGTTTGAGGTTCTCGAACTTCGGCGCAAACTCCACGATGATGTTCTCAAATCTGTTTTTGTCCATGTGGCCCTGCTTGGTATTGGCAATTTCTGTATACATCCCAGTATACCAGCCTCGCAGTATATTTATCTTCGGTTTCATCGGCTTGTTGGGTTTTTGCCTGCCCGTACCTTCATAGCCATATCGAATGCACATCCATACAAAGACGTAAAAAAATGACTCGAGATCGTGCCGATATGTGTGACCTTTGCCTTCAAGAACCTCAATCGCCATGAATTGCATAGTGCCAGTCCGGTGACGAGCCCCACTCGGCACGCTGTCCAGCTCCTTTGCCAAGTCCAAGTCAATTAGTCTTCCTTTGGGGGCTTCTTCGGCAGGGAGTTCGGTGATGATGATATTATTTTCGGAGACATCCCGATGAAGAATCTTTCCATCCTCGAGCAGTGACCTATGACCTCGGACAGCATCGCGCAGCGCCTCCAAAAGTTCTCTGACCGATTGATATTCATGGAGAGGTCGTCCAGCTGGTGAAGTTACCAAGCAGTAGTTCACTCGGTTACCGTACGTCTCACTTTCGCAGTCTGTCAGACTGTCGGCTCCGGCTTCTTGAATACTATCGACATTATTCCGCTGCCACTCATTCCGGCAGTTTGCCAGACTGTCAACCACTGTTTCTTGAATACTAGGAGCGCCGATTGCGTCTAGCTGGTCTTCTTTGTGCACATTTGTCGCGCTGGCATGACTACCGTCGGATTTGGACCTCTTCAGTCTGCTACCCCCATCAAGTCTTTCATCTCTTTTTCTTTTCTGCCCAGAGGAAGAAGTTGTGGCGCTACCTGCACCAATTCCTAGGCCAACCAAGTGAGCCACACTGCTCCCTGACCTTCCCTTGAGGCTTGTTTTCGAGAACGCACGGCTGGATTCTGGACTACTATCGACCCAAAAAGCTTTCTTCGACGGCCTCCGTGGCGACCCAAATTTCATGGCTCGTCGCAAATGTGAGATGGTGTCCGGGTCGCCGTCGATAGTAATCTGCTCATGATTGAACCACACAGCAATGCCCGTGACTCCTTTCTCCTTTGCCAACTTCAACAGTTCTCCCTCCCGCTGCCTTTTGTCAGACGGCCAAGCGAACTTCACAACGTACTCCCAGTCCGTTGTGCCGGGTCTCCTTCCTCGATAACACGTTGTTCCCCGGCACACTATCGCTTTTGTCGAGGCGATTGGCTTGTCCTCCAAAGAGATCCTCACATCTCGTGTGACGATGTACTTGCCGTTGCCATCACGCTTGATGAACGTGTTCAAACCCAATTCTGCATCGGACATCATCGCGTAGCCGGCAAGGACCTTGACAAATCGCTCTGGCTCTTTGTGAATGTCGAACTTCTCGGAGTTATACGGTCCAGATCTGTCAAATACCCAGAGCCGCATCATGCTTCCGCAGATCGTAAACCCAGGCACGAATCGCCGCTCCGGTTGACTTCCAAACACTTCGCGTGCATACCCTGCCAACTGCACCAGTGTTTTTGCAGATCGATCCTCATCAGGATTCTGTTTGTGTTCTCCAATAACAAGTACATTAGACCAGTCGTGCTCGCCGTTCGGTAAGGTAGCGTTGGCGGGGGTGAGGAAAATGTCAAGCTTGCGATCAGCCTCCGAGCCCCTCAACACTTTGTTCGCTGATGTGTAGTATCTGTGGCGAAGTCCGCTGAGAACAGCGTCCTGGAACTTTATGAACCACTCAAAGAATGGACCTTGAAGTGAAGGCTCTGGCCACTCGTTCCAGCGTCCCTCTGTATACTGGGCTCTTGACCCTTCGTACATATCCCTCGCGTTGTTCGTCCAGGACTTCTCTTCGAAGTATCGCTCGTAGAACCCTCCAACATCGTAGTAGACGCGCCCAGTGAGTTCCTCAAGTATCCGCCGGTCAACCTCATCGTGTGTCTGCTCAATCCCCCTCTGAGAAGCCGAGCTGGATCGAAGTGGCGTGTCGAAAACGGCTTTCTCGAAGGCGGTCGGTGGCGTTAATTGTTTCGGGCTGGTGAGCGATTCGATGACGGTGTGATAGACTTGATCCCACAGGAGTGCATCGTCCCGATTGTGGGTGAGGGCTGCAGTCAAAAGAGGTTGAATACGGTCGAAGTGGAAGTTGTCGGAGCTGACGACGGAAATGAGTTTCAGGAGATCATTGCGAAGGGTGCCATCACTTGTCTTTGACTGTAGGAGACGAATGACAGGGAGATTTCGTAGAGCGAAGAGGAGATCGAGAGTGAGATTCTGGATATCTGTATATTACTTAGATAGGAGGCACTAAAACGCCAAACAGTCTTACCTTCTTGCGCAAGTTGACCGAGCGCGTCCGGAGTGCAGGAAATGTTTCGGTCTTCACAAATTGAATTGAAAGAGGTGCGAAAGGCATCAAGGCCTTTCCCAATAGGATTATTCTCAAGTATCTCTGACTGGGCCTGATCCGTCATGGTGACAAGCTCCATTTGCGATTGTAATGTTCTTTGGGATGCGAGGGATGGTTGGGGAAGTCGTGTTTCGTGACATGTGGCGCACCGCCTGAACAGCGATCGGGATTACCTCGGGATTGTTAGCTCTCGGTGGAGGCAGACTCCACTGACGTAATACTGCCGATGAGCTAAGTTGATTTCGGAGTCCCTGTATTGCGCAAAATGTCCCGTCGCATATGCTTCATATTGGACCAATGAAATTACAAACAAAAAAACCATTGGTATTCATAAACAACCGATCATTGGTCAACTGAAACCATATTTTGCGGGGATGTGGGGTTCCGGTGCAAACTTCATAGCTTAAAAATTATTACTATATCCATTGATACACTAATGGTATTTCCAAGCATATGAAATTCTGGTTTTAGTATTGAAACCAAAGGATTTTGACTTGTGATTTACATAATCTCTCGCACATTTATTTTATTCCAATCTTGAACATCATCTGCTTTCTCACTTCCCTGTTCCAAAGTTAAGAGATGGTTCGATGCCCCGGGTCTCCATTCCACCAGCCTGCCTTTATTGCTCTCATTCTCAAGCTTTCTTGCAAGTTTTTGTTTGAAGTATGTGGAATTTTCTGTGCCCCCAAGTTGTGATCGCTGCAAGTATCGTTCTCTAGAACTTAATTGAGAAGGTAAATTTGTAGCCTCCATCTCTATCTGGTCCCAGTTTTTGGAAGTGACCCTCGAATGGATATGATGCACTCTATGTGGTTGATATTCAACCTCCGCGAATTCGACATCTTTATACTCCTTCAAGGTTTGGATGACAATATTGCGGAGTATATGAGTAAATACAGATGTTCCACAAACTATACTAAATTCAGTTTGATTCTTGAGTGAAAGGGAATTGATTGTTAGGTCCTACCGGCGACTTTAGATTTTCCTGCAGATCTTTGTACCTGCTTAGTTATGAACCCTTCTATTATCAGTATTGCCTGCTGTTGATATACAAACCTCCAATGGGGATCATCCACAATTGGAGGGGGTTTTGTCATTTTTCGTGGATAGAAACGAGTGCAGTTCAAAATAAGCTGTAGGAGTATGTCAGCACTTCTCCGCACGGAAATTAGGCATATTGCAATGTATCACAACCTTCTCTGAATCTCGCATCTGCAAATCCACAAGCCAATCCGAAATCCAATCTTCCTGACAGTTATCCTCAAGGACCCAATACAGATCGATTTTTCGTGTGATAAGACCTCGTCGATAAGAATCGTAATTTTTATCCTTATTCACTCTACGATATGTCAGACTTCTAACATAAGGAATGATACCAGCAATTCCAATTCCCTTTGCCACTAGGATAACCGTCTCGAAATTATCCAATCGCAAATCTTTTCCATAAGGCCCATCCATCACAACACTACGGAGCGAGCCCCGTCCAATCAGTTTTGAGGTTAGGCCGTTGCTGGGCTCGATCAAGAAAGAAACCTTGGTAGCTTTCAAGGAATCGTCCCACCATGCGATCACGAATGGGTGCGCTTGGAACCGTCGGCGTACACCCATATCCGAGAGAAACAGATACATATATTGACCTGGGTTGATTTTCATAGGCCGTCTAAGTAGGACTGTCAATCTTATTGCACTGACGGTTTTCGTTTTCGAGTCATCATAGAAATGGAAAATATCGGCCTGTGGTGTCAAGGAATGATCAACACCACCAACGTTATATTAAATTATCTTTCCCCATCGCATTATAGCATTGAAGGACCACAAGGATAATGCAATTATCGGAAACATGCTTCGAGCCAACCCAAGGTGTGATACATGTTCCAATAGGGCAACAACCACGATAAACGCCAACAAAAAATGAATTTTGAGGAATACCTCAAACATCAATCTTCGCAAAAAGAATAGTGATGTAATGAGTAAGAGCGACAATGCTGACACAGCCTATATCTATATTAGAAGTGAACTAAGTATAACTTTATTTTACTTACTGAAAGTCCAGAGATTTGAGATGAGTTGAAGGTCCATGGCTGGCCAGCAGCTAAAACAAATGCGACATGCAAAAGACTTTGAATAATCACAACTCGACCAATCCAGTGATGTGCTATATAATAAGAATGAATAGAAATACCAATGAAATTGGCCAAGGCATTAGTCCGCCCACCCAAGAACAGCGGTATAAGGTTCACCGAGGCCATAATTCCCGCTCGAGAAATAACATCGGACGTGGTCTTTACCCCAAGACCCATACAAAAGCCGTTGATACCTAAATATGCCCCTACAAGAAAGCCTTGCAATCTTGTAACACCAGTCCAATATGTCCGTTGAACAAATAACGGATAAACCAGATGCCTCAATGCTAACACCTGGAACCGTGTTATAAGAAGGGCAGAGCCAATGGAGCCAATTCGATAAAGGATCAGGAGGACGGCAATTGCTGCTAAAGAGATTGCGTACCACTGCGTCAAGTTCATAACTCCACAAAAGGATATTATGATGATAGTTTAGATGATGATTTAGATGATGGTTTGGATAAGTTTTTAGGGAAATGAAATGCGTATTGTTTTTAAAAAAATGTACTTACTATTGAGAACCTGGAAGCGTAGATGTAGTAGTAGTAGCCCATGTATTCATGATGCCCATTCAACCAACTCCCGTAATCTGATGTTCGGCTTTCGCTTTCAGGAACGAATGACAGGCTGCATAAACGCCCGCATCAACGCCCGCATCTACGCGCGCGGCTTCAAGAACTATTTTTGTTTAATATCACCAACGTTCAATACCTTTTAAAAAGTCAAACGGTTTTCCGATTAACTGAAAGCTCAGTTTTCAACTTTCGAGATCAGTTTTGCAGCTTCATTTCTCTCAGATCATCACACCAAAATTTCATTACATCTCCAGGATGGTCAAATATACCAGGAAGCTTGCACCAATTGTTGGTGATGAACGTAGACGAAGGAGGGCATGTCATGATCGAACTCAAACTGTCATGAAGAAAGGCGATGAGTTGGCTGTGTTGTGCCCAGGTACTAGAGTCTGGGTGGTAGTCCAAAATGATGAGCAGACATGTATTTATAGTTCTGAAGAGTCTTCTTCTCTGCCTATATTATCTGCTATTGATGTGCGCTCTATTCTCTATTTTATATAGTATGAAACAAAGCATTTATGCTAACGATGTACCTAGAATGTTATTGCGACAGGTCCTGGCGATTACAGAACACACAACGAAGTTATGGCGACAGGTCTTACTCGGGCTATACAATATACTCCCTCACCTTCCACCGCACAACCAGCAACTTCATCCTTACCTGCCGCCATCTCGTCCTTACCTGCTGCCAACTCATCCTTACCTGCCATCACCTCATCTACACCTGTAAGCTCACCTCCACCATCTATCACTTCGCAATATGCCGGAGTTTCCAAACGCACAAATCCTGCTTTGGACCGTGGGCGGAGCTTTCGGCGCCCATTCGACCTTACATATAGTGATGAAGAAGGGTTGGAAAGGGGTGCAAGACTCAGGAAATATACGAATGAAAATATCCATTCAAGCTCCAGACGAACCCCTCGAATAAAATCCGAATCGGGCTCAAACTCAAGATCTTACATGAGAGACATACCTAAGTTTAGGTCATCACGCGAGAGATCGTCGTCAGGATCTAGGGCTTATCTCTAATTATTTTATGTTTTATACTATGGATTGTTTTATTACGGAGTATGACAGGATCATTGGGGAGTTGGGGCGCACCAGGAAATAATCTATAATGATTAACAATTGTGCTCTTGGCCGGTTCCATTAGTAACAGATTTAAAGATTGGGTTATCTAGTTTAATCCCTATTTTTTTGTAGCTTATATTCAATGAGTTTTTTCTTATGCTGTACAGCTGAAAAACAACAATAGATTCGCTGAAGGTCTAAAATACTTATTCTTTATATAATTGAGTGAATTATAATACAGTATTATTGTGATACTGTTTTCTGTTGTGCCTTATTACACGTGATTTAATCTTGCCTCTACGGTATAATATGGCTCGAGGCACCCAATCTAATAAGATGTGGGGTAAATCGAAGGTTTGCCTTCTCCCTCATCTTCAATCCTTAATCAACTATAATACGGAAGCTAGTACTTCAGCTTCCCATCTCCCTTTGCCAGTGACTATTACACTCTATAGGGCATAATCTTAACAAGTTTAATAAAATATTATCGTCGCTGATTTTGACAAGGGCGGCCGCTAGTGTGTACGATGTAATTTATGCAAGTATCCGGAAGGCTAAGTCGCCATTCAAGAGGAATATTCTTCATTCAAATTTCTTGTAATTCCTTTCAATTCTTTTCTATCCATCTTATCGTCAGTTTCGACAAGGTATTTCTTACAAAATGATACATCAAGCCCATTTACAATGCTCCTTGTGTGGTTATGGCTGTGGTGAAATACAATGGACGACATTGTTTTGTGCTGGTAGGTTAATTATTAGTCCAGAATGATTAATTTACTGAAACAATTACATCTATAGTACTGCGAACTCAAGATGAGGATATGGTTCTTACCCATCCAATATATACCTCACCTTCCATCAGCTTCCGCCTTATAACATTTCCTTACGCAAGCTCTAAAAATTCCAATCATCGGGAGATCAAGGTCTATTGCCAACGAAGAGTTGCTGGCAGTTTCAATTGCTTTCTCGTCCACCATGTTTGTCTTCAAACCTTGCAAGACATACTAAAGATGGGTATACCACCTAAAGTTCTATTTGCGTTTTGCCAAGCTTTAACAGAGGACTGGATGAGAAAGGATGGTGCATCAAGATATAAGAGTCAATCTTTAGGTGAAGTTACTAAATCATTTATAGGATACATTATCTAACTATATTATAGCCAACTTCGACGTATCTACTCCAATGTTCAAAATATTACCACCATCGGGAAATAACCCAAATCTCAATCACGAATCAAAAATCGATAAACTACCGTTAGAAATAACATGGATGATTTTACACTATCTTGACTCAAAATCGCGATTCAGCTATTTCATCTCTAATCGATTTGCATTATCATCATCTACACAATATTCTCCTTGGCAACTTCTTCTCTCGTATACAAATTCAATCTCAGAGCTATCGATAACGATACAAGATATGGTAATCTTTGCTCATCGTGTATTTGATGATAATGATTATATTGCTTTGGATGGGTTAATATCGTGGATACGAATATTGGACCATTTGGCATCTATTTTGAAAGCTCGATATCCATTATACTCTTCGTCTTTCTGGATCCCTCCTTCACCAATCGATAATTTGCCTCAAAAGCAACATTTTCCACTTGGACCTCGACAAATTACAACACATATACCTAATGTACTTACTGGATTTAAGGTGTATTTAATTTCAATACACGGTCAAAAATATGTCTCTGGTCTAGAAGGTATACCATCTAGTGCCCAGATATCCATTGGAGTCTGCCATGGTATTTCATACCACATCTACTTTCGAGCAAATCAAATATCCAGTCTCGGTTTCGTTGTTGATCCGTTGGGTATACGCAGTCTTAAATTCGGCGAGTCTGAATGGTCATCTAGGGTTCCTTCTACTTTGAATTGGTTCGAAGGTATTAGTATCGACAATGATTCGAATAATCAACTAGTTGTTTTTACAGATGTGAGCTTTTATGTTTTAGTTCATTTAAACAATTGCTAATTCTCCCAGGCCTTGAAGTTCCGAAAAATTTACTGGCAGTACAACTCGAATACCAACTTATCCTTCCCTGAAACTATTATTATGAAGCCCTTTCGAATGGGAACACTATCGCCAGAGTACTATATAAATCGAGGCAATATTGGAATATCTTCTTATGGAAAACATGAGGTACCAACGGAATCGGTGTTCTTTGATGAGGATATGTTTGCGATATCTGTGAGATTGCAAGATGGCGTTGGGGTTACTGGTGTTTGTGTGCATTCAACGTCAAGGTTGCAGACTATTGGAAAACCCAATGATGAGTCATCAATATATTTCCAAATTCAACCTCATAAAGAGAGAATTGATAAAATTTGGGTATGGAATTTCCCAGGGTTGTATCTTACAGTAAGTCCCCTACCCCACATTCCGACCACCCTTTTATGTTATATCTGCTATTTTTATTTTATAGGGGCAAAAATAACATTTTTTTTTTAGATCCATACCACCTTAGGTCGATCCCAATATTTTGGTGCAATAGGAGGCCCAGAGTCCACAGATACATACAAAAGTTTCCAATCATCGCAAGAACAGTTTATACAAGGCTGCTATTTTTGGTTCTACGGCCCTGCTATTGAATGTTTTGGCATTGTATATTAAAATTTCAATTAGGATCATCACAATCTGTTAATTTGAAGCGATGCCACAGCAAGCACTTAGAGTAGACGCATAGGAATTATCATTTATATCAGTGATTGAACAACATCTCCTTTGCATTTGCACTAGAGCATAGGAAAAACCACAGACAAGGGTGGAAAACCTATGTTAAGCAGTCTGAGAAAAAGTATCACATCATCTCATCCCATAAAGCCCCGGCTCGAGAATCAGAAGAAGACTTCATCTCCCCAAAGACCTCCATCCATATCAAGCATATGTAACCTTTTTATTTCCATCTATCATTCGCCATTTGCGACCAGCAGCCTTAGAATCACTCCAACCATGATAATTATATACCCATTGATCCGTTGGGCGTTCTACATGTGTGCTTGTGTTTGTCGATTTGAGATGATAAAAATATTTTCCGTCGACAACATAGAAATGATCTTCATCCGACCCAAGCACTGATGAAGTGATTTGAGAAGTGGTTGGTTGTTGGCTTAGAGATATACTGGTAGATGCTGTAGATGCTGCAGCAGCCTGATAAGAGCCGTAAGGTATGTTTGTGTTTGTAGTCGATGAGGATGATCCGGTGGCGTGTGACATCTGTGAAGTTGAAGCAAGCTTAGATTTTCTCACCAGCTCAAGAAATTCTCGGATCTGATCAGCCTCTGCAGGAATATAAGGGTCTCTGTAGGATTTAAGGTCTGCTATCCCTGTCTTGCCCTTCATCAAAGGATCTGCAATGAATGTTGTGGAAGTTTCGCAAGTGAAACGCCAAGCTCGAATCTTGGTTCCAAACGCAACTGCGCCATATATAGAGGTTCGCCCTTGCGATTTACCAAACTCTGAAAAATAGTCTTGAACATATAGTTCAAGCTGTAATTCCATTTCATCAATCTCTCGATGTGTCCTACTATAGCGTTTACATTCCATCACCAGCAACAAAACAGGGTTAAATCCCTGATCATAAGATCTAACCACCACATCTGCAGATCTAGTTGTGTTATCCAATGATTGTTGGGAATTTACACGAATATCATCATAATGCTTAAATTCATTATTGAGAATATCCTCCCAAAGTGGAACAGTGGCCGACTCTCGCAACTCTGGCTTGGAGGCTTGAAGGTAAGCGCCGTACAAAGAGGGAGCTGTGATAAGTCCACTAGGTCGAAAAGACATCTGAATTTAATCAGTAAACAAACTATCATCAAGCTTTTGGGATAAACTTTGCTTCGTATAAATTAGAAAGAGATATGTATAAAGAATAATGTCGGCTGGTTCAAAAGGTAAGTAAGAATCAAAGCTAGAAGGTATTTTGACAGTCTTACTTATTGAAAGGGGTTGCGATTGGCGGAGGAGGTCTAAGAGAGTGGTTTCGAGAATGACTGAGAAGGAGTGTTTTCGAGAAGGCTGAGAGGGAGTGGCTTGGGAAGGCCTGCGAGGGAGTGGTTTGAGGAGTATTTTGACTATAATAGATGGAAAGTATGATCAAGAAACTTTGATGCTAAGAATGTAAAGAGAATTGATGAGGACCAACCAGTTTAAATAATGACAACTATACATTATTGAAGGTATTCCTCGAATCAGGCTAGAGTAACTTTAGCTATATATGGTGGGAAAACCTCTCTCCTACAACCTTAGCTTTCCTCGTATCCTACAAAAGGGAATGAGAATTGCCAACCGAACATGATGCATAATTTGCTTGTGAGCGGGGTAACGCAACTATTAGCAGTATGTCTGCATAGATGGGTCACTTAGCAAGGATGAACTTTCAGTGGCGTCTAATGTCTCCCTGTTATGACTTCCCCTTGTCCCACCTTCGCCAAGGACAATACCTATCGATCGTCGATTGGAGGGGTAGATGCAACATGATAGTCACCGCAATTTGCCGCTTCTTGAGTCTTCTCCTCACATCCGTAAAGCTGGACGGTCTATCTCCTTGTGTGCCAATTACTTGCATCTCTTCATCAAAACCTAATCACGAAAGGATTTTATGCTATCTACTTTCCAACTCCGAGACTACATCCAGCAGGTTCTAAAGAAGCACAACGTCCCTCTTTTAAAAGAGCATAACCCATTAATTTTCCCATGCAAATTTGGGTGAGTAAAAGAAGTACAACGTTGTGCCTGTTTAACCATATGGGTTAGGTCGTTTAGTTTTACTTGGTCGTCTTGGATAAACGGCATTAGTTGGTCCAGGGCTTCCTTGTCGAAGACAGAAACAGCATAGCGTAGGCGTTCTTGGTTTCCTATGAAAGTTGCAGCCTTGAGGCGTAACTGGGCCAGAAAGGGGCGAAGCTTCTCACGACTGCCGGTGAACTTTTCCGGATTAGGGATTTTTGCGTGGGTGGTAGTATTCATGCTTCTTTGTAGTTGACGGGCCAGGGCTAAGTTTATCTCTGGGGCGTCTGAGAGTTGTTGTCGGACGTTGGTAAAAACAGAATTCAGAGTGCTGTTTTCTGTGTGAGCCTCGTTCAACTCGGCTTGTACTTGGTTGAAGTTATTGTTGACAGTACTTAATTGTTCTTCGAGGTTTGTAATTCGGAAGGTTTGGTCCTCAAGACGGATCAATGAGTCAAGGGTAGTAACGGCTGCTCGAACGTGGTCTATGGTAAGGTCAGGACCTTGGTGGTTCCTGAGGTCGTTGAGGGCAGCTATAGCTGACCCCCAGAGTTCTGCTGGAATAGAGATAATGCAATCATGTGTTCTGGTTGTTTATGGGTTCCATCAAACTGGGGCTCGGTAGAAATCTTCCAGTAGATATTTACTGTGTAAACTCCTGAATATATTTGACGTCTTGATAAGATATTCTCGAGCCAATAAGAGAGAGAGTTGAAATACCGCCGGTATTCAAAATTCGATTATTATTGGTTAATAATGTAGCCCGCTTTTTACTAAGACTACATAGCACGTGCCAGGAGCTTCTTGTCACGAATCACCATCATTCGGATAATTGCAGAAATCTCAAATACATTAATCATGTTCACACATGATACGATTACTCAGGATTAGTATGCGATTTAGGTAGTCTAAAGATCAGATCCGAACAAGTACTATGTACCAAGAGTTATTGATAAAGTAAGACCGTTGAAGGGGTAAATATGACTTTTTGCCTAGCCATTATGGCTAGGCCATTCATTCGTGTGTATATAGAGTAGCTATCCCCATCTACAGGTGCTCTTCACCTGTAGATTCCAAGTTAAATATAATTGCTGGTCTACAAACACCCTTTTGGTCACAACTTCCAAAAAACCCGTTTTCCATTTTCTCGTCTTAGTATTGAAACTCAGTTAGTAGGATTGTGGTTAAATGAAAGATCCCGTGGATTGACCGATGTGTTTTCATCGTAAATATCAGATGATTGAGGTGGGTATGATGATTGGGGTGGATATGATGATTGGGGTGGATATGATGATATTTGGTGACGATGATATAGAGGATTGCTCGAAGATGACGATGCAAGTGTTGTGGCTGTAGATGATGACAGTATACTCTGATGCGAGATCGAAGGTAGATGAAACGAAGGATTTATTGCTAATGAATTATTGTAAGGACTTTGGTAAGGAGTAGTATATGATTGTGATGGTATTGGATACCCATATCCTATTTCTGCTTCAGAGAAAGTTCTTTTGCGATTAAGATTCTCGGGACAATATGGAACCGCTTGTGTAATTGATTCGTGATTGCCGATTTTACCCGAATCATCACGTGGCCAAGCAGCAGAGTGCACACCATGTTCAGAATGATAGGAATCCACCAATGTTAATAATTTCTGTTGAAACCCGCATATAAAGAAACTCACTTACCTAAATGAGGAGGAATACTTGTTGAGAATAAATTCTTCGAATGAATCTTCATTTCATCGATAGCCTTTAACGTTTGAAGATAATTCGGCAAGGTATCGTTGGTAATGTTTGAATCAGAGCTTTCTCGTTGCTGTATTGGAGCGCGAAACTCATCCACTAATCTTTGGCCAGATAGATTCACACTTTCCAAAGTTAATTTGCTTGAACAGAACTTCGTGTCTTCTTTAAGCTTGCATCCGTCGGGTCTCCAGGATACTACAACGTTGATATCAATATCAACTTCGATACTTAAACGAAGCCAGAGTCGACGCAAACGTTTTGTAGCAACTTTTCTAAGTGTACCAATATCGATATTCGTTATTGTTGATTCTAAATGAAGAGCACCTATAGTCCTACACTCGGATGCAAAATTCCAGAGACAGATTTTAGAAGTGTAAGTTTCGGCATCTTTATTTGGAATGCATATATCGATAGGAAGTAGGTTCAAATTTTCGGCATTTATATCAATATCAAAGTAGATACCAACAGTCTGAATGCCATCTGGAACAAGGATTCCCTAGAAAGTCATTAATCAATAATCCTACTCAATCTTCCATAGATATGATTACCTCAGTCATGATCCTTTCAGCACAATTATACAATTTGGGTAATTTTGCATCCTCAGCAGGCACTTTGATATGGCGGTTAAGCTCTGTACGATGATGTTTGATCACTCGAGCCAGAGTCATGCGAGCATATCGACCTCTGACTAGTTGAGGATGATTGATCCAGTAATGCAGACCGTGAACTACCGCGTTCCTACAAGTGTTTCCAGATTAGCTTCTTTCAATCCGAAATTCCCCTTGCGTTGAATTGGTACTTACAATGACTGTCCCACCAAATGAATTACTTTTTGATCATCGTCGATGATATTCTTTCCTTTAAGCATAGCGCACAAGTTATTTACCATACCAGGCACCTCGGAATTCCCTCCCGAGATTACGACAAGGTCCAAAGGTCTAATTATTTGAGCAAGATGCTCACCGATGCGTCGGCAAGTTCATCAATCGGTGGTTTCATAATACAAGTCATATCCTCCCTTGTTATTGAGTTAGCAGCTGAAGATCACATTAAAGAAAGCTGACGATAAACTCACTTTGTTAGTACAAATTGATCTTTGCCATATGGTACACTGAATGGATATACTTCATCCTCAAAATCTGCTGTCCATTGTGGCTTTGATTGTAGATGGAAATGATTCACAAACGGGTTAAAGAAGGCCTGCTCTTTATCTGGAGTCATACTGATTTCGAGTTTGGCACGCAAGAGATCAATGAATCGTTCATCAAATGAATCCCCTCCAATCGCAAAGCCTATAGTATCATCATCAGCATTAAATATATGGTTTTGGTTCTTATAATATACCTAAAGGGGCACTCAATTCGTTGATCGCAGGTGGTCCTCCATCATATTTGAAACAGATCTCGGAGGTGGTTATATCCTATTTTCTCAAAGGTTAGTCAATCCACTTCTACTTGAACCAGATCACTCACAGTTGTACCAGCTCCAAGATCAAATATCCCAACTGCGATGGTATAGTTCTGCTTTTTCTTAAAGACACTCTCTTTAGCATCGCTGATGATATCCTCGATTGTTGGCAGATTTGCATAAGCAACACAATCGCTTTCACCATGGATATATATATTGTCAAGACAACCTGCTCTTTTAATCAATGCTCGAAAGTTCTGCACTTCCTTAATCTTGTAATACTGAGGCACTGAAAATACCCAGCCTTTTGTAGGCTGCTGCCCACCGCATTCCTTGATCGCATGCTCGATGGCGAACCTCAAGAAGTCTTCTGGGATCTGCTGCACAGATCTCAGGTGGAGATCATTCGCTGCATTAACTAGAGCAGCATAGGCATAACCATAGCTTTCGGGATCTGGTAGAAGGGCAATCTTCACTTTGGATAAAAGTTGTTGACGACGGTGTGGTTTAACGTAACCAAATGCTACGGGCTCGGCTGGTTCATCGCCATTGGGTTTGTATATAATGTTTGTTGGCGCTTGAGAAACAAGAGATGGGGTACCTGCTTGCGCTCCAGGATAGTTTCCGATTTCTCTGCAATCTTCATCGCCTTCGATACTACAGGCCATGCGAAGACCTCCGGTGCCGAAATCGACAAAGATATACTCTAGTGGACCTTTAAATTTTTTTGGGCGACGTATGCCAGAGTTGGTAGTCATTTTAAAATATTGATGTATGAAATTGACAGTGTATCGAAGAATTAAACAGACATTAAAAGGGAGATGCTATTTGATGTATATATCGAAATTGAATATATCGAATCACATCTTAGGGCAACTCTGGGCATACGCTGTTCAGCTCCCTCTATATTTTAGAATATAAATTCGTAATGTCATGCAGGAATATTTATTTTATGGAAATTATCGATTACTATTTTGAATTTACATTTTCTAAAAGATTTCACCCATCCAACCAATTGAGGCTAATAAACCTATACTATACATTCTCAAGCTTCTATCACCAAAAACGTATTTTTGGTATTAATGCCCTGTCCAACAATTAATTAAACTATCAAATCTCTTTCGAATATCCTTCCAGAGATACTTGATTAATACCCAACGATATTGTCTCCACCTTGCAATATACAGCCTTCCTGACCATTTCCTTCCAAAACAGACTCACGAATTCGCATTGCAGGAGAACCTCCACTCATCAAAAATACTTTTCCCGATCGAAATTGAAATAGATCTGGGGCTTCGGCCTCGATTTGAAATATGCTAGACATACACTTGCGCAACCAATACTGCCATAACCAAGTAAATATTCTTCGATAGTGATTATCGTATTCGATAAGAAGTACAGTTCCAGCTAAAGTAGTTTCCAGGCTTTTCAAAGCAATTACAGTAGCTTGATATTCCGAAGAAACCAGGTGATGTTTCCAAAAAAATTCCAAACCCGAACTGGAGATTAGATCATTTATTTTTGTGTAGATAAAGGGGACTTTCAATTACATACAGTCACTTTCTCGTTGATATTACTAATCGTTATAGTATCGCTACAGCCTCTACTGGTATCGGAATATGTGTAGCTACTCTTTCGTACAGATGACGTGGGAGGTATTGGGATTGAGAAGATAGGGAGTTCATGTGAGGTGGGTAGATACGAGGCCCCAGATAATACTAGGGTGGGGGTAGAATGATACATCCTGCGTATATTGGTATAGCAGGGAAAGCAGCCGAAAACAAAAATAGCTCAGGGCGTAAGCAAGCTGGAGCCAGAGATGGGTAATAGGGAAGAGAGGAGAATACGGTAAAGGATGAACTGAGGCGGATTAAGTTGTAGTACTATAAGATGAGACGAGCATACACCGGTTGCCTTGTTCTATAGCTTGCTCTTATACATCAATTGATCTACTTCATTGCTGACGCCTTCGCGTCCCTCCCACCTCGAGGAGAACAACAATTACATGCATATCCCGAGAAATAAAAAAGGTCTGTAACACTATACCAAATTGTCAAAAGAGTTGGAAAATTATACAGCATTCTGGATATCAGATGAGAGGGTTTCTAGTATATCTTGGCAATTCTTCAATATCTATATCATTGTCGACACACAACAAATTTTGAAGAAAAAATATTTTTCGAAATACACCATTTTTATATCTCATTTGCACTAAACAAATCAGCATCAATCGAATGCAATTGTCCCCAAAGAAATTGAACCAGTAGTTGTTGTGATACTGTCGTCGACGTCCAAAACACGTTGTGTGAACGAAGTGAATGACTTCAATTCAATTACTACTGTAATAAAGAACTAAGCGAACGCGAAAGAGACTAGCTCTTTTAGTAAGTCTATATAAGACTTACTACTTTCAATATGTAGCTAGCTCTTTAGACAGAATACAATTAGACATACAGGACCTACGTAATCCGTGGGTGCTACGTCTTCCGTATCCTTCTCGTACCAACACACGTGAAACCACGCTAAAACGCGTGAAATTTTCACCCCCTTCATACCTCCATTACGAGGAAAGAGAACTCAATGACGGGGATCACCCAATCGAACTTCCTAGAAGTGATCTTAGGCACTCCATGCCAAGTGAACCACACTGAACAAACCCATGAAAGAGACAATAGCCTGTCATTCATCCTTTCCAGTCCTACCCCCTCCCAACCCTTCAACTTTCAAACCTAAGGCAATACCTTGAGCTCTGATGATCCATTCAAATCACCAATCAATCGCCCAATGTTCCAATTCAATAAAAAACGAAGACGACAACCCAGCCACTTAGAACCCCATATCAACTCACCAAAAGAAGCTATCCAAAAAGCTAGAAGTCTACTCATTCTAGCTGCCTCCCTAGAAGAGGATACCGAAGAACAATCGAAAGTCCTAGACTTAATCGAAATATTTTGTGAATATCTTGAAAAAGGAAAACTCATAAAAGCCTCAAATATTATCACATTATAAATCTCCCATCTAGAAAATGCTATCAAACGGATCGAAAAGCAAGCCAACCACCTTTCAAACCTCTTTAATCATATAATCCCCCCTACAATAAACATCTCTGAAACCAAAGTCAACTATACCACTATCATCAAAACCTCAGGAGAATGGAACCTAATTATAAAGGGAAAACCCACAAAATAGAAAACTACAGAACAAAAGAAAGAAGCCCCAAGCAAGCGACTAATCCTCATCAAACCCCTTATTTATCAGCTATACTCTTTTATACCATTAAATATAAGGAACAAAGTCAACGAAGCCTTTAAGAAAGCAGGAATCAATAGATCAATCATCTCAGCTATCACTACTACAGAAACGGCAAATTTTATATTAACTATTAATAAGCCCTTTCAATGCCCAATTCCCTGGATGGAAAAGGAGGGAAATCTGGGACAAAATTCCTTGATGCCGAAAGAAT